TGGTCGAAAGTCCACCAAGTGACCTGCAAATAACTGTCTACAAATTATGGTGTGCTCATGCGCAATGTCGTCCAACTGTGTTTGGCTGCAAATAATACTCTGGTCATGCGTAAACGAAACCAGGCTTTTCTCCTTCTTGCGATCGCTCGTGCGTGAAAAAATTAATGGCAGATTGCTTCGCTTCCCGAAGATATTCATTAAAAAACAAACTTGGTGATAGACTGATAAAACAATTATTGAACTCGGTTATCGAAATAAATCGTGATTTGTCAGTGTCTCGAGGATCGATTATTTGCCTCAGCCTCCGTCTTCGGTAAGTAATTGATCTACTCGTAACTGACTAATCACGATATTTTGCTCAACCTCGTCCAATACTTGTTAATTATAGTTGTTGTTGTTGTTGTTGTTGTTGTATTTTCACATGGTACTACATTTTTAGTATGTGGTTCTAACTTTGAGTCTGTGGGTGTGACCGTTTAAATGAAACCTCTGCTGCAGTTCTTTCTCAAAGAGCTGTATGTTTTTCAGAATTTTACTAAACAACTTTGGGAGTTTTTGTCGAATACGGATCCAAGTCAAGGTTTAATGTTTAGTTCCAGTAAAAGGTTTTGCTCAAGACATTAGAATTGTTACTTACAATAAGGACATCAGAGTAATCATGATTAGTCTCCAGGGAACCGAGATATGTGACCAGGACGATCGGATGAACCAGGTAGGCACAGTAAGTCAGTCGGCTTAATGGAATCCAGAAATGAGCTGACAGAATTTTGTCCACCAAACCTACAAAATAGAAAACCACAGTCAGAATTACATGAAATGAGCTCAAACATGCTTCAAAGTCAGCCGATATGTTACAATTTACTCCTCAAAGTCCACCAAATAATTCCAACTTTCTTCTAGTGCAGTCAAATAGGTAGCACCTACATTGGATTAGGGTTAAACGCGAGTTACTGCAGTAAATAACGTAAGGTAAGTCACTTATATGAGATGCCGATATTGTCCTGAAAAGGTGCCTCAGAAGATTCTACGTCCACAAGCGAACGAAACTCTAGACAACCTTTAGGTGTTTCCGTAACACTTACAATGTTAAGGAGATTTTCGACTGCAAACAACTCAAGTCTGACTAACAAATCGACACCTACCTCCGAGCCCGCGATGACATGCAAAAATCACCCAAGCTAGTGCCAAGCCCCATGCACAGCGTGAGAAGGTCCCGTATATGATATTTTCGGCGCGATTGAAGGGCTTTGGATTGTCCTTTCTCACAGCACTGTATTCACCGTACAGTGTAGATAAAGCCAGAGCGATTGCAACACACCACCCAGCAACATTGAACATATATGTACGCACCTTGGGAAAGGAAGAAAGTCCCCTTACCAGTTTTAGGAACCTGGTTGCGTTTACATTGTTTTATTACTTACACTAAAAAATAAATTTCAAATTAAAAAAATACTACTAATAATATGAGTAATCATAATCAAGTAGTCTTAACATTTCATAACATTTCTTGCTTCTCAAAACCAGCAGTCCCTGAGTTTGTATGGGATTAAACGTTTCTGGGAAACTGCCCACCTACTCCTCCTCTAAGGCAACAATAACACATACGTCTCATGTAGGGAAAAATGTTGGATTAAGGGAGGGGTAGGTGGGCAGTTTCCCAGAAACGTATAACGATTCGTATGAGCCAGCAAACCATAGTGCTTTAAGCTGAGACACCGTATTGGTTTCTTATCGTGGCATTCTCTTTATTTTTTTATATAAGAACATAAATATGACACTGCTTTATTAGCCAACTTTCAGCCTGATGTTCTTCATCCGCTCGTTCTCATAAGCTGGTGTTTACTGTACTGCAAGTAGACCACATCAGCACATTTGCCTTGCTTATGTAATCTATAGTTACGCAAGTGGAATGGTTATGAAGCCTGACAGACTCCTTTGTTATATGTTTTTGTTCGCTTTTTGGACCTGACCGTACACAACGTTCAACAGCATTCCTATCATTTTGAACTAACTGACCTATAAAAACATTGCATTGATTGAGCACGGTCAACGAACTTCCAAAATAAAGTGGAGCACCGTTGTTTTCATCTTTGATTTTACCAGCTTTCATAACCGGTCTCCTCTACTAACTTTGTGTAATCGTAGCCTGAGAAAACAGCCGACATTTCGTGACGCCAGCTCTGGTTTCCCCGCGTAATGACGTCTGAGAAACGACTGCATAAATTCCATACTGATGACGCGTCACCCCCAGATTTGGGTAGTGCTTATGACTGGACGAAGCAAATTCCAACCAATCAGAAGCACTATCCAATCTGGGTAATGACAAGTCATCAGCATGGAATTTCTGTGCTCGTTTCTCAGACGTCATTAGGCGGGGAAACCAGAGGTGGCGTCACGAAATGTCGGCTGTTTTCACAGGCTAATGTAATCTGACCTGCGTTAACAAATAAGTCATGTATGTACGTATGTTTAAACTTGTTACCTTGGGCATCTTCCAGTCCTTAAAGTGTAGAATTATGTGTCCTAACAGCATACCAACAAGGTACGGTGCAATGCGACAATAAGGTTTCACATAAGTCAGAGACTGTGAATCTATACCTTTGGCCCTACGAAAACAAAATTATTTGCATATGACCTGGTATTCGCAAAGTTTTTTTACACATTGGCTGGGGCTGGATATTGGATTTTTGTTATCCCAGAGATGGTCAGGGTAGCAAGGTGGACTGTTCACAGACTGTTCAAGCGCTTAGTGAAACGAGTGACAACCTTGGTTTCAAAAGTACCATGGGGGCGAGTGTCGGAAATTATAGCGGTAGAAGGAGGGAAACCGAACCCCTTCAAGAGGGGAAAAATAGGGGGATCTGAACAGACGGTCTAGCAAGGAAGCCATATCAGTAAGTATTTTGTATCTGGGAAAAGGCCACGCAGATAGGAAGTGAGAATGCACCTAAGAGAAACTTTTATGGCAATGCGTTCACAGTTCCAACGAATGTTAAGAACATCTTCAAAAGACTTGAACCCCTGTCAGATTCGGGGAGGGATAGACAATGTCCATACGTCACCTTTATGCTTTCCTTTATTTTCTTTAAGGGACAGGTTCACGGTTCAGCGCATGCTCATTTGTCAAAATGCTGTTTTTCTGCCGGGACATGCTGGATTGTCTATGCAAGCAAAATGATCATGTCATAATGTTGTCAAAGAACCAATCTGCACACTGGCAGTCACTTGCACTTGATCAACTTAAGTGTTTGCAAATAGCTTTAAATTAATCAACCATGGAATAAAACCTTTGAGTCAACAATAAATTCAACGTTGGTAGTGTTGGCATAATCCACTAATTTTTTCTGCGATTTTAGTACTCCTCCATCCTACATCAGGTTCTCTGAGATCGCTGAGATACATGTGAGTGGGATTATTAACCGATGATAGCATTAATAATAAATTAGAAAAAAGTAATTTAATTAATGAGCATGCGCTTAACCGTGAACCTGTCCCTTTAAACCTTTCACTTATCACGTAACAGAAAAGATGCATTACAATATCATTTCAGATGGACCATTTGTTGACCTAATTTTTTAGAATAGTTTATGTATGGATGCCTGTGTGATGTCTTAAAAATGCAATATGGCACCCCAAACGTAAACCTGCGAGCAATCTCTCCAGGGGGTACGGGAGTGTTCTCCCCGAGGGAGCTTGCTTGCAGGCTACCCCAAATGTTAACACCCATAAATAGCATTCTCCGCCTTCCAAATTCCTGCTTAGGGAAACTAGTAGACAAGACGCTGAAACAAATGAAATAAATGCAACAGGACAAAATATTCGGTGCCTAAATGGAGAGCCTAAGCAAATGAACATTTTGGGGGTGACAAGTATGATTAAACACTCATGACAATTCTTACATGTTAGCTTGTGCTTTCGCCCCTAACATCACGGCTGCAAGGTCATAGTGAGCGTATATAATGGCTGTTGTAATAAAACTGGCACCCATAAGCACACCAACAATAATCAGCATTCCTACAAGACGAAACCTAACAAAACAAAAGCATTATATTAGAATCAATTTTACCTAACCATAAGATTCGAGTTTTCCTTGCTCAGTGCTTACAAAACTAGTTGAAATGTACACCCCACTTGTTTAAAATCACAAAGTAGAGAATTCCTTTCCTCCTTACAAATTTGATAAATTACAAACTATTATGTATGACATGTAATAAGAATCAAAGTTAACTATGGGCAACTCGTGGATGTATTGTTCAGAAAAATTCCAGCTGCCAGTATAGTGAAAATTCTTTGCGCATACACGAGTAAAAGGTATGTGGCCATCCAAATGATGAGCTGTGGTATAGTCTTCAGACATTTCTTGAACTGGTTTAGGTAGATTAACTTCTCTGTTATTACCATCCGTTCGTGCTTGTTTTAGATGCTGTTTGAGTAGTATAACGTACTAGTAGTAATAAATATTTTTATTTTCCTTGTTAGAAACGAGGAAAAAGTACAGCGTGAGTCTCAGTCACGCCGGAGGCCGCAGACAAAGCTGGGGAGGGGAAAAGGGCGGGGCAGCCTTTCACACAGTCCCCAACCTCCCCACTTCCATTTCTTCTTTCGCCATCTCCTCACGATTTTTAGCCTCCTTCCCCTAAGCTTCCCCCAAATGGAGAGCCTATTCCAAGGCTAAAAAAATGCAAACAGGAAATTGTCACTTGTATAAAGAATCAATGTAATTTATCGTAATACGCGGTAGATTTCTTAATTCAAATATTAAACTGGGTACCAAAATTTTTTTAAAAATGTAAATCTTCCTTTGTTACAGTTGAACCTCTATTAAGCAGCCACCCTCGGGATAACCAACCCTTGGGTTCATACTTTGCATGAGCATTACTACAGTAAATAGACTAAGCTGGCAATGCCTGTAACTGAAATGTTATTACAGGTTGAAACTAGAATAAAGCGACCCGTCTATAGCAACCGGGAAACTGGCTTTAGGCATCCGATTAGCGTTCATAGCGACATGTTGCTTTTTGTACTTCGAATGCGCCCCTTCAGCAACGCATCATTACAAAGCAGAATTTTCCAGATTCCTTCTCTAACCATATATCCCACCCAAAATTTAGGACGGGAACGTACGTAAACAGGTGTAGACAAGGAAGTGTGTGACCAATGTTTCGATAGGATCAGAAACTTTATTGTAACTTAATCTTGTTCTTACAAGAAGAGAAAGTGTTGATGTAGAGCATCTGAAAGTAGTATTCAAATGCGATGAATGATTGAAAACCTGTGAAGCTTATCACCCTAATTTTATGAAATAACACAACGTGATGCGCACAGAAGACTTGTTTTTGAAAGTACTGAAAGTACAGCGGCTAACGTTGTAAACGAAAGTAAACATGAAGTACGAAGTCCTTCATGGAAGACAAGAGGATTCATTTGGTGATGATTCACGCCAACAGTGTCGTGGAGAAAGTTGTTCTTTGTGGGGAAGGGGGGAAAGCGTTTAACAGTAGCAACTAGTAGTTCCAGCTCTTCCCGCTGGTCGAGAACTAGTGGTAGTAAGGGTGTCCCACATGGACAAGCCATGTTCGTCTTCTGCTGCCACATCGCCGTTGGTAATACACTGCGATGCTATATAATCGCGCAAAGTCAGCGGCGGCGTACATTTCTTTAGGAGGTGATTGAAGTGTAGAGTCTTTCACAAAGTTCATTAGTGCGGCGAGGTCGTGCTCGTCAGGTTCTTCGGGAACAGACGAGTCTTTGCGGTTGAACCTCTGCAGAACTACTTAAACTGGCTGCACCTTATTTACGAGCAGGTCGACGACATTCTTGGTAAACAGTTCGTCTTTGTAGTGCGATACTGTGGCAATATTTGCATATAGTGTGTCGGCCAGCTCACTCAATGTATAATTGGGCCGCGTGAGCCATTCACAATTCCATGAGAAAAGTTTATTTACGATCTCTCTATTTGTCAACACGCCGTTTGTACTGTTTTGCCATTAATGGTTTGAAGTGGCGGCTGTTGGAACTCGTCTCCAGCAATGATGACTACTAGACGATGTACTTGCTTCTCCAGACTCTCATGGGTAAGGGCGAAGGTGTCTTCCGCTACCATCGATGCTTCATCAATGGTGACGGCGTCATATTTACCCAGTTGGTAGTTGACTATGCTCTTGCTGTTCGGTAACGGGACTGTTAATCAAGGCAAAAACGGTATCTGCTTGTAAATCCGGAGAGGATTCTTTGCGATACGCAGTGACAAGCAAAGCTAGGGGTGCACAAAGGGTGACTTGAAATTCTTCCTGTATCAGGGTGTGAAGCAAGCGTTTAAGTACCTGCGTCTTGCCAGTACCAGGCAACCCAATAATAATTAATGTCGGTGCCAATCTTGCCCTTCATCATGTCTAGTAGAAGGAGCTACTAATCGTTCCAGGAGACTTGCTCTTCCGAAGATGTCAGCTTCTCGCGTTTTAATCAAAGCCAAGAAACGGGTTTGGAGCGCGGTGTGTTGGGGTGATAAGGGGCACTTTTGGGGGAAGGTGTCTATCTGCGAGCTTGCGAAAGAATCTTCAATCACACCTAGCTAACAGATGGCGTATAAGTCTTTCAGAGACTTAATGAAGTAGACGATGGTGTCCAGGAAACAGCGTTTGTGGGCTTCTTTTGCGAAGTAGTCGAGGATCCCGTCTGTTGTACTTAAGACGTCTGGCATCTTCTCAAGCGCAGTTACGAAGTACTTAAATGGCTCTGGCAGTACACTTTCCCGAAGGTCTCTAGTCTGATCGTTTTGTTTATGAGGATAGTCATCTTTGTACTTCTTAGGGACAACCTTCTCATGGTCGTACTCTCACAGCCACTCTTAGAAGCTTAAGTTGTCTGCTGCAGCAGGTCGCGCCAAGTACTTGTTGTATATCGCACACTCCGTGTAATCGGGTCTCGGAGCAGTGAATGGCTTATTCCTCGAGTTTTTCCACGCGATCTTCATAGATGTTAGTTGGAGCAACATCTCATGTTCAAGGGGTGTCATAGTCTTCAGAAAGCTGGCAGCGGCCTGGCAGGTTCCCAGATCTCTTGAGTATAACTCCTGGCTTTTCACAGCGTCATGTTATTTGGCAACGTACGAGGAAACGTGGATTAAGAGCATTCCTTTGCCGTCGGAGGACTGCACGTCCATACAACGGTATAAGGCGCCTACTAAACTTGGGACGTAGGCCCGGATGTTGTTATTCTTGTCGGCCACAGTATAATGGAACGCGATATGCGACTGGTCATCGTCTGTGGTAACTTCTGTAGGGGCTTATCTATTCTTAATGGTAAGGCACTACTGCGGGAGGATTGCAAATCAAAGATCTCAGACGCCTTGTCAGCTCTTACCCAAGGGATTAAAGCGGAGAATTGATCTTGATTAAGTGCGGACAGATCCTCCAAACAAACCAGAATGTGAGCAGTGTTCCCCCTTTTGAAATTCGTAGCGGTAAAAGTAGTTTCTGACGTTGTTTACGGAGCGATCTGAGTTGCTGGCGAAGACGTGGTTTCTCCAACGATTGGTATTTTTGCCGCATAAAAATCTGCGGATGATCTGTTGGAGGACGTGTGCCATGTGCAGTGTCTCGGGTATGGCAACCTCTGCGGGTCCGCGACCCGTTTGGTTTCGCAGCTCTGTGCCATGTGCAGTGTTTCGGGTATGGCAACCTCTGCGGGTCCGCGGCGGTCCAAAACATCAATGAGAACCTCTGCGGGTCCGAACTTTGTCTCCACTGCGTCCACGGGAAGGTCCACTAAAAACCGGTGTTGGTTTTGCCAGCATTAGTGGCTGAACGTTTTAGCTTCTACACTTGGGGCGGGAGAGCATTTGGCAGCTTTGGCAGTGTTGATTGCTCCCGTGATGGTTTTAAACCTCCAGCGGTCAAAAGGGTAGTAGAGAATCTCGTATTGCAAGTATTGCAAGCTGTAGTCCAGGCCCCGGTTGTTCAAACGTCGGATAGCGCTATCCATCGGATAAATCACTATCCAGCGGATAGCGTAATTGATTTCCGTAATACTTATCCGCTGGATAGTGATTTATCCGGTGGATAGCGCTATCCAACGTTTGAACAACCGGGGCCAGTACCGACGAGGTCTTAGTCATGAAAGACACCTTGCCGCTACGTCTGACAGAGGAGAAAATAATAGAAAACTCTAGTCGGGACGGCAAAAACTACATTATTGAGGATGAACTTACAATTCTATTCCACAATTATTTTAAGACTTCCGCTTAATAGAGGGTGGCCAGTTAATAGGTAGCTGTTTAATGGAAGCTCAACTGCACTAACTATAGAAATGTGAACTATCATTTACATGTACGCCGCCACAACAGGTTACCTGTGTGCCATAAAAAGGATGGCGGGAGCAATTATGTAGAACTGCATGTCATTAGCGAGGTACCAAGCCCATGGCATACACTGAAAAGACAGATAAGAATCATTAAGTACAGGATCCACTGTGATTTAAGCGATTTCTCAAGGTTAAAGGAAATCGCTTAAATCACAATGGATCGGGAAAATAACTGCAGAGTAAGCAAAGACTCGTAAAGTAATTAAGGTAAGGTGTATTTTATCGAAAATTCTAGCAAGTATTTACCTTGTTGAATCTTTTACCTGAATTCCCAAACAAATCCTTTACGTTCACGGCTATTTTAAGGATTATGCAATATAAAGTCAAATGTATTAATGATTTTAAAACTCTCATGCTGAGCTTGGGCCACCTGTTGAGTTATCAAGCAGTGTTTTGTTGCAAACCTTAGGAAAGTTAAAGTCACTTCAAGGTACAGAGCTTTCAGTAGTAGTTGTGATTTGTTTATTAGGATCGTTTTGAATTTTAACTTTGAATTCAAGGTGTTGACTGATCGTAATAAACGAAGTGAAATGTTATGAAGTGTGAATGTTTAATCAGTTATGATATGTAGAGCTGCAAGCTCATATTTATAAGGCTCTTTGAATATACTTGCTTCCGATGAGTTTGACACTTTCTCCAGTGATTTTTATCAGCATCAAGTTATCCTTGCCCGGCAAGAACGATGTAACCTATAAAATCGATCGAGCTCGTTGTTGAAGTTAAGATCTAACACGGTTGCGTTTTAGTTTCCCCCGCAATTTCAGTACCGAAAGACAAATACGATATGCAAGAAAGACAAAGATGCATGATATTATTTTTTTCAATTTTTTACGCACTTCTCATTTTCTCCACCGGTTCCCTTCTTGCTTCTAAAAAGTCAAAAAATATTTACTGTGGGAAAAATACTGCAATTATCCGCTGACCATCACGCAGGGCGACCGCTTTGCAAGTTGTAAGAACATAGTTTTTAGGTCCCAGACCTCGTCTCTTCCCCCCCCCCCACCCCCCTGGATTATCCACTCGACCTAACAAAATCGGCCAATCACAAAATAAGGAAAAGAAAATGGACATAAAATAAAGAAAACAGCAAATTCAGAGGACCTCTTAAGAAACATGCAATTAAAACTGTATGATTGGTGCATTTCAATCCTCTCGTACAAAAATGTCAGACGCCAATCATCTTAGCGGACCTCTTAGGAAACGAAAGTTTACTTCAACGGGTCATTGTTTGTGATTTGTGATTGGTGGAATTCGATGCGTTTTGTGGGGTTCTATGTTTCAAGGTTCGTTGCTTGTGATCTTATTGTGACCAAAACCCGACGTTAATATTCCAAATATTTTTGATAGGTTTCATCCCTAGACTTGACTTTCAAATTTCGATGAGGCAAAAACACTGAAGATTCATATTAACTTTTGAGATCGCAAAAGTGCGATAAAGAACCGTGTGCTAGCAGAGCTTTCTTTCCCACATGCCTCTTACCTTGTACTGAGACGTTCGCATGGCAGACATTCGCCTCGCCTCGCATGTTTACTTGCCTTGTTTACGCTAGCACGTATTGCGTGTCTATTGCATATTTGCATCAAAACAAGCCGTTTCCATTACTCTATTTGGGCCACACCCAAATAACTACCCTTTTCACAGCACGATCGAGAATTTTTCTGCCTGCTGCAATACTTCGCCTAGCCTGGGAACAACAGACGCATTTCCAGTCGTCGCTTCTCTCCCTCCGAAAGAGAGAGGAGGAGAAACGACGACCGGTAATGCGTCTGCTGTTCGCAGGCTATACTTCGCGTGGCATTAAGCTGGCCGCCTCGAGGGCCGACCGTCTTCGCTCGGCTTGTTCGTTGGCAAAAAGTATGTAAAGAGGAAGTGCACCGTTATCCTCTCATCTATAAAATTACCATGACAATTAATTTGATATTTTGCATTTTATGCTGCTGCATGTTAATAAAATAAATACACAAGTTTTCTGTTGTAAAATACTGACCCAGCAGAAAATATTTGTCCAAAACAAACAATAAATCAATAATTTAAAAAACTCACCGAAGCAGCAAATTTTGTAGGATAAAAGTTGTTGATGTAGAGCAGATTTGTCCACCAATATTTGTTACAAGCTTCATCTGACTGATAATTTGGCCAATAAGGGCCTTCACCAAGAAATACTGTCAGTTTGTCAAAAAACAGCAAAACAAACATGTATGTAGGAGTCAATCTGCGGAGTATTAGCGATAAAAGAAATATAAATCACATGGTCTATTCTTCATAACCAGCTTATTCAGACCAAATATGGAACACCTTTGCAACATCTGGAAAATGATGTCAAAAGTACAGAAGGGACTGCAACCGAGAAACCCTGGATTGGAGATTGTGTTGATTAGGTAGGGCAGGCTACACTCACCTGGCCAATCATATTCCCCATAGTTTTAAAAGACATCGAATTTAACCTCGAACCAAAGCTGGTTTGCAGTTTTCCCCACTACAATTATATGGTGTCTTGTTTTTACGCAGTTGCTTGCTTGCAGTTCTTCACAAGGTGTCGTCTCATATAGCACTGTTACTTGCATGCCGTTTAAGTGCTGTGTTTCTCCCCCAGTAAGGGGTTTTTGGTAAGAATTGGTGGTTACGTATTCTACTAAACGGTTGAGTGTGACAGTGCCTTGTGGGGGCTGCTCCCAGGGTTCCTACCCTCATGTTAGAGCATTGCACCGCTTTACTAATCCTGAAGACACCAGCACCCAAACTCATCTATTAGTGACGAGTTTAAGAGTTCATTACCGGGCAATTTCACAAGAATACTCCCATTTTTTAAGCAAAGCACACTAACATTGCTTTTGAAAGTACAGATGCTGATGGATCCAAAAATTTCACCCGAACAAAAAAGGATAGTATGTCTGCTGTTCGCTCACCTCCAAAAGCGATGAAAATAGTACTTGAAGAGTGGAAGCTGCCCATTATTTTTCTGCATGTGCCGAAGAGACAAATATGCAACTAAGAAGCCGCTGTTGAGTACAAAAGGATTAGAATCAAAAGGTAAGTCTTCACTTGACTATCTCGTAACAGATGTCTCCCCACAAAAGACACTTCGGGAACTTTCGATTGACTGTATTTCAGAATAAAAACAAGTGTTTTGGTTTTTATTGCAGGCTAAAATCCAATATATTTGGTGGGCATTAATAATAACATAACTGTCCCACTCTAATGGTTGAAACATTTGCAGTTGGAGAAATTTGCCACAAATTTCTGTCTTCTCATTCCAAAATACAATCAATTCATTAATGTACCCTGTACCCAATGTTCTTCTTTAGTCATTTTATTTGACCCTCTATGGGCGATTTAGAGGTTGAACATGTGACAGGGTCAGTGTCAAATTGCCTATGGGACTGTTTTGTGAAAGCTATCACTGGTGGACGTATGAAAGCAAGGGTGTTACAGTGCTGAGAGCATTCACCTCCCACCAATGGGGACAGGTTCAAATCCTGGCCTCGACACCATAAGTGGTTTGAAATTGTTGTTGGTTTGCTCCCTTGCTCTAAAAGATTTTTCCCCTCTCTTCAGACACCAACAGTTCCAAATTCCAATTCGACCTTTACTGTCTCATCACATTTGATAAATGCCTTAACTTCCCGGCCAGTTTTTCCACTAAGAACTCATCTACATATTAACGTAAAAATTAATGTTTAGAATTATACAAGTCTGTTTTATTGCCATCATGCAAACAAAACCAGTTTTTGGAGACTTTAACCATATAAAGGAACATGTAAATCTCCCCTCGTATGTTATTGTGGAGGCTGTGTGGCCCACAGGTTACAGCACTGGACTTGTAATCCACAGGCCCTGCCCTGACCACTAATTTTGAGGTCCTGACCACTAGTTTGAGTTCACATCATCGGCCAAGCTTGTAAAAAGCCAACCAGTTTGCCAGATTCTTGAAAACCATCAATGTTATTTCCATTTAAATTACTTGTATCATTATCCCTGAAAAGCCTCATAAAAAGAGGGGATAATTAAGTATTTATCATTATTTATTATAATTTTATTTATAATGTTTAAAGTTTAATACGATAATCATGATGTACCTCAAGAAAAAGAAACTGTCAACTGAAAAGGTTGCATTTCCTATAGCTTGAAATGTAAAGCGTTTAATGATGCCAAAAAATGTAAAAAGGTTACCTACAAAACATACAAAGATACATCACTCAAGAGAAGAGACACTAAATGCAAGTAGTTTCTAGCTTCTGTTCCTGGTATCCCCAACCAGTCATGCTTATAGTTAAGGCCTTGAAGGGTAAGCATTTGGCAGTAAACAGATTAAATACATTTTGCATCTGGATCAGAAGGGCTGCAAAGTGTGCAACCTGTAAATGGCTTTATGGTAAGTTTTAGCTCTTTATAGCACAACAGTGACCAGAAAATCGCTTGACTAGCTTCAAAAAGCGTTTTTTGGCAAAAATTCCAGGGGCGAATGGGTTAAAGGAGGACTAACTTAGGCTGTGGTTTCAGACATCATTGGACTTCAAGGGTCCCTATTCATGGTGAACAGCGTGAAAAATGACTTAGAACACAGTTCTGTGAATCACTGGCAAAACTCTGTTAAAATAATGGGCTCAGAATGTCTCTGATGAGCAACCAAAGATGCAATGTCTAAGGAACTGAGGAGAACTACACCATCCTAAAGCTGCAACCACTCCAATGAGAGGAAAACAACCCCCCTCTCATACCTACACTGACACTCCTCAGACCCAGGGTTGCACAAAAGGCCCTTTTGGGCTTTAAAATATTGAAACAGTTGCTGCCTACTAGAATTATTTCTTCTTCTATAGTAACTTTTTGGGAGTTTATTGGCGATAAAAATATGAAATAACTTACTTGGAAGACCAGCCATCGTCTGAAAAGCATAACAGTGTCCAAGTATAACCCACCACATACTCAATACTCTCATGCCATTGATAGATGTTATTGCACCTGGAGGAACTTTAGTACTCAAAATGCGGTTTGTGTTTTGGATAAGAGAAAAACACAAAAAGAATTTTGCCACCACATCTGTGTATATAAAAAAAAACAATTAAACAAATAAATTGCCTTTCACAATCAACAAAAATATTCAGTGCAGATATGAAAGTGAACACGATCTTTTTCCGCAGTTCAAAATATGATTTATTTCATCAATTTATGTCAATTCGACCATCAGATACATTACGAACTCACAACAGGGTTGCCATTCATCAGAAAGTTAAAAATTCCCTGACTTTTCACTGACATTTAAACAGTTTTCACTGACCTTTTATTAATGAGAAACAATCGACGTTTACATTCACTTTAGCTTTTTTTGCAGGCCATTGATAGTTTCTCTTCATTTCACCCTATTTCCGCTTTTCCTGGAAAGAGGAAGAAGGAATTTGGAAGAAAGCATTTACAACGAAAACCACTGACCACAACTACTACATGTGTCAGACGTAAAGTGTCAAATTGATTGCTTTGCTTGCTTTGCAGCGTACTTTTCGTCTTTTCCAAAAGAAAATGCATTTCAAAATATTGAAGGAAACTTATGAACTATAAACCAGAAAACAGAATTCCCTGACTTTGATAATATCAAAGATTTTCCCTGACTTTTCCCTTACCTTGAAAAATTTTTGTTTTTCCCTGGCTTTTCCCTGACTGTGGCAACCCTGTCACAACGGTTTGCTCTCCAGCTGGTTTGATTAGCTCAATGGATAGAACATTGTGTCCGGCCGATGGGAAGGTCAGGGTTTGATTCCCAGTCAAGCCTGAATTTTTTTCAGGTTATTTTCTTTTTCAAACACTTTGGTTGTTCATTCTACTGCAATGATAATGTTCACTTTCTTAGATAACCTAATAAGAAAAACTGATGTCTGCTGCAGGTAAACCTGAAATCTGGTTCAAAAGATACACAGGAAATTGATCCCTCAGCATGTGACCTTACTGCAGCAAAGACAGGTGAAAAAGGCAAGACAGAAAGCTGCCCTACTCATTGCACAGGCCTTTCTCCCAGTCACTCCCTTGGCCATATGGCCAACAACCCCACCCCCCAATCCCCGCCAAGTAACAGCCAATTATGGCTTCATAGTGTTATGTTTAACCATCCTGGCTAAACTAGTTGCAAAATATTTAAGAGTACTGTACAGTACCGCAAATCACCCCCAACCACAAATGATCCGGAGACGGCAAATGATCCCCAAAATGGACCGAAAATGATCCTCCACTGTAAGTGATCCCCAAAGTCGACCGCAAATGATCCGGAAAGAAAAATAGGAATCGCTCAGACTCAAGTTAGCGGATCATCTAGTCAATTTTACTATTATTACAAAAAGTCAGATTAAAAGCAAAACTTTACTTCTCAAATAAATACATGAATAAAAACTAGATGGAAAAAAAACAACATTCAAGTGTAAAAACAGATCGGCAGGCAACACAGGACTTGTCTAAGTAAATGAGATTTTTGCCGCTTATTTCAAACTGAGAGGTCATGGCACGCATATTGATTTTCTACGGTTATTATTTCTGGTCGGCATGATTTGCCCTTTGATGCAAGAGCATTAGTTTGACCACTTTTGAAATGCTATGCTCTTCATTGTGGATAAATAGGGGTTTCAGGTTGTTTAATTTTTTTTAAAGTGCCTCCTGGATCCGAATATTTATAAGCGGTTTTCTTTTAGTCCGTGAATGTGACGATTTCCTACGATTTTTGTCACGAGATAACTACCACTTACAAACACTTTTGCATTTCTCATTACCAGGTTTAGATTCCTAGTAACTGTCTCCAGCAAGGGCAGAACAGATGAATATACATATACTAAAGCGTTAATGTATTTCGAAATAAACCTAAACCTGTGGACATTGATGAGTTCGGGGACATTTTGACGGTTGTTTCTTTTAAAAATCATGTCTTGCTTCGAAACGGACACACAAAGCCTTTGTACACAGCCCCCACCCCCCTCCTTCCGCCCGCTTTTTCCTGAGGGGAGGGGAGTCTGTACACAGGCTATTAACACATTGGAGAAAAATCAAAATTAAATATTCTGGAAATCAATTCGACACTTCCAAAAAGATCACTAAGTCAATAAAGCTCTTGTAATGTGGAGGGTTTCCGGCTTTGTCTGATTCCTCAGTAGACAAGTTGAGCTTCTAACCGTTAGAATAATAGAGTTTTTTTTTTTGGTGTAACGTCCTGCCTGTCTTTTTACAGTGAAGAAACAGTCTTGAAAGAAATGTGAAGCAATTGACAAAGGAAGAAGTATACGGTTGATACCATATCCTTTTCAGATTTGTTCCATTTTTTTTTCGCCTTGTATGAGTCACCTGTTATGTGGCGTCCTCCCCTCCCTTTTCTTTAGAAGGCAAGAACCAAAGGTTCCGTTTTAATAATCAGCCCTTTTTTGCAATCAGTCCCATAAAATCCATTCCATTCCTCAGTTTTTTCACAGGATCATTTGCAGTCGACTTTGGGATCACTTGTGGTCGAAGATCATTTGTGGTCCATTTTGGAGATCCGTTACAGTCTCGGGATCATTTGCAGTACTGTACAGTACCAACTGAAGCCAGCAAGAATCAGTTTAAAAAAGTTATCTGATAACATTCAAAACTTACTTGGTTCCTTCGGCTGTTCAGGAAAGCTGGTTAATGAAGAACTGCAACTAACTGTTCCCTCAGGGATGGAATGAATCATTTGTGAGTTGTCGCTGATGCCATCATGTTTCCCGAAGACTGGAACATGAGGAGGAGCCTGATAATTATCAGTAGCTATGGAAACATTTCTGATTGGCATAAATCCATCACTTTTGTTCACTGTTGATGGGCGTGGCTTGAAAAAGCTAAAGAGTACATCAAGGACTGTTCCAACAAGGCAGAGAGACAAGATTATTCCACACAAGGTTCTAAATACAAGAAGAAAAGACAATAAAATATTCACCAAAACATTTCAATACCAAACCTACATTTTGACACCAAACCTTTCAGGACCATTTCAAGGATGCAACGATCTATGGCCATGCAGAGCACTGTAATAATTTCAAACATTCAACATGTTTCACATAAGAGGCATTAATGTTAAGGTGCGCCGACAAAGAAATACAATGTAACACAACACAAAAGGCTTTGGTAGGCAAAATTGGGCAGGGAAGAGCCAGCAAGGCTCGGATAGAACCAACCGGCCAGATAATCCACCAGATGAGGGGTGTTGGCACCTGGCGCCATGCCGAGGGGGTGCCTCATGCCTCTACTGCAAGGTGAGCATGGTTCACAAATCCATATGGCTGGGATAATGTCCTTGGCCAAGTTAACCAAGTCCAGCAGAATACACATGCCCCTCTGTGATGGGGCTTCAGCACAAGGCTGATGGGGTGCCGCAGGCAACAATTCCCCGCCTTAAATTATTTTATTAATTGAACACAAAGACAGACAAGCTTACAAACAATAAAGAAAAAACAAAAAGAAATAATAAGCAAAAAGTAAAATAAAAGACAAGCAACTACAGGAAGCCTATAATAAGGGGAGGTTGGAAGGGTCAAGTTTGCTACTTGAACTTGCAGCAATCGAAGAAAGTGCTGACTGAGAGGGCATTTACATTGTAGCATGATAATACCAGTATAAGGTACAGTGCTAAATAAGGAAATACCACGTGGGGTAAACCGCAGTGATCTGCAGGCTCACAGGTTAGCACTTGCCAACATTAACTTTTTTTTTATGCTCAAATATCGTCAAGTGGATTCGACTCTGCTTGCCATAGAGTTTTAGTAACTCAGTGGTTGTTGTGATCTAGACCTCACAGGGTTGTGAGTCTGATTCTCAGCTGGACTTCAAAATTTTTTTGTGCTTTGAGGTGATTAAATTCTCTTTCTCCTTGAATTAATTATGAGATGATAAAAGGACCACACACAAGTATTTAATACGTTTATTTGCCACCATGAGATTTTTTTCCCGCAATATACTATTAAATCATATTTAATGTAGTTAATGACTAGGAGCTATGGTCTTGGGTGTTTTTGGCATTCTTTGGTAGCGCGTTGGTCGTCTGTAGCGTTGTGCGTGACTATGTTTGCGTTTGTAGAGTTTACTAATGTTCGTGAGCACGGGGGCAGATTCCTGTCCAGCGGTATGTCGCTTTGGCGCATGCGGAGGCCACGTGCCTACATTGTGTTTGCGTTGTACTCGAAGCTTTGTTAGTGTGGCGTGGCGTGGTGTTCCAGTAGCGTAGTCTTTCTCTTGGTTCTGCCCTAGTTTTGGTTAGCTTGGTTTCTCAGTTTGAGTAGCATAGCATTTTCTCTTGGTTCTGTCAAAGTTTTTTCCGGTCAAAGTGGTTTTCGTTACCGTTGTTTGTCATTGTTCCTGTTGTGGTTCGTCCTCTGCTGGAGAGTTTTTGGTTGTCCTCTGTAATGCCGCGTCCATCTTGCTCGACCAACAACAGCTTATCGGCAGGCCTTCCTACCGAAGACTTCCTTCCATCTACAGCAACGTCTGAAAATTTTGTGTCGAGTACGGCTTCTAGTTCTTGGTCGCCTCAGTTGGCTGACTCCCTCACCGAGGCTGTGGTTCAGGCAATCGGAAACTCCATTCTCGCCATTATTTCATCCATCCAGAGAAACACCTCCTCGCAGGATTCTTCTTCGGTTCCAGGCGTTTCTGCTAGCGGGGCTCCACAACCTTTATTTTCTTCAGCGTCCGCTTCGAGTGCGAGTACAAGTGACGTCCGGTGTTTCTTCAGTGGCTACAGGTACGTTTACCCTTCCCGCGTTTGTTCCTACATTTACGCCAGTGCCGGCCATTATTGTCTCGAGCTCGGCCCGCCCTGTGGCTCCTACTCCCTCCACTTTTGTATCACCCGGCGTTACTAGCTGTCTTCCAAGCCTTGACTCTTCATTGGCATCTCCCAAGTCTGAGAAGGCTTTTATTGTTGGTCCGGGGCATGCCCCTATTCCTTCAAAACTGGTGTCAAAAATTGTAGGTGGCCAGTTTGTCGAATTGGCAGATTTGTTGTCCGTGAACCTCTGCGCCGTGGAGCAGGAGCCGCAAACGTTCCTCGATGGTAAGCTCGTGGTGTCCTCGTCAAAACGCTGGCAAGTGGAAATAAAAGACATTTTGACTTGGACGGAAGCCTTTACTATTAATTTTTTCAGATGGTGCTGTGAGCAGCTCACCCACATCGTTGGCCCGATCTCTCCATGTATAAGCTGCTTATCATTCAAACGGCTCGTCATTTTTCTACTTCAGCCTGGTTAGAGTATGACTTGGCGTTCAGAAAGGATGCAGCTGCCTCTGGCCTCAGTGACTGGTCAAGGATGAACTTAGACCTATACAACTTTGGTAGGTGCAAATATTGACACCGCTGCAGTAACTGTGAGGGTGAACACACCCAGATCAATTGTCCATTTCCCAACTCCTCTGGCGCACGATCCCGATCTCCCAAACCCGGGAGGAGAGGGGGACGATACTGAATGGGCGGTTATGCCCGGTGAGGCTTGTGTACATAGTGTAAATAGTTTTGTTGCGTCGTCAGGGGGGCAGCGTGATCTGCGTTCCTCAGTCAAGTCGTCTTGTTCTGTTACAGTTCAAGTTAGTATACCCAGTGTTGCAGTTTCTGTTCATTCTTTCTCGCCATTAGCCCCAGCCTCCCAGGTCTCTCCACTACGGCTGGATCAATTTCAGACAGAGCTACAGCATCATCCTGACCAGGCAGCAGTGGCCTATGTGTTGTCCGGATTAGCCTTTACTATTTTTCAGATGGTGCTGTTGCAGTTTCTGTTCATTCTTTCTCGCCATTTTCTCTCAGATGACGCAGTGATCCTGACCAGGCAGCAGTGGCCTATGTGTTGTCCGGATTAGCCTTTACTATTTTTCAGATGGCGCTGTGAGCAGCTCATTCACATCGTTGGACCGATCTCTCCATGTATAAGCTGCTTATCATTCAAACGGCTCGTCATTTTTCTACTTCAGCCTGGTTAGAGTATGACTTGGCGTTCAGAAAGGATGCAGCTGCCTCTGGCCTCAGTGACTGGTCAAGGATGAACTTAGACCTATACAACTTTCACTTAAGGTCTCCAGCCATGGCCTCACCCCTGCCACCTCGGTCGTCTTCTTCCACGGCATCAGCTCCACTTCCTGCCGCCTCCCGTGACACCAGCCTGGTCCCTCCTTTTTGCCATTCATGGAATGATGGGCAGTGCCGCTGGCCCTTTGGTAGGTGCAAATATCGACACCGCTGCAGTAACTGTGAGGGTGAACACACCCAGATCAATTGTCCATTTCCCAACTCCTCTGGCGCACGATCCCGATCTCCCAAACCCGGGAGGAGAGGGGGACGGTACTGAATGGGCGGTTATGCCCGGTGAGGCTTGTGTACATAGTGTAAATAGTTTTGTTGCGTCGTCAGGGGGGCAGCGTGATCTGCGTTCCTCAGTCAAGTCGTCTTGTTCTGTTACAGTTCAAGTTAGTATACCCAGCGTTGCAGTTTCTGTTCATTCTTTCTCGCCATTAGCCCCAGCCTCCCAGGTCTCTCCACTACGGCTGGATCAATTTCAGACAGAGCTACAGCATCATCCTGACCAGGCAGCAGTGGCCTATGTGTTGTCCGGATTACGTGAGGGTTTTCGTATTGGCTTTGAGTCGTCCATGGTCAATCTTAAGTCCACTTCTTCGAACATGCGTTCCTCCTTCAAGCACCCTTTTGTGATAGACTCCTACTTGCAGACCAAAGTTTCCTCCGGCAGGGTGGCTGGCCCCTTTTCAGCTCCTCCTTTTCCTTCTCTACATATCAGCCGTTTTGGGGTCATTCCCAAGAACAATCAACCAGGCAAATGGCATCTCATCCTTGACCTCTCCTCTCCTGTTGGGCACAGCGTGAACGATGGCATTCCTAAGCCTCCCTTCACAGTGCAGTACGTTTCAGTCGATGCAGTTATTGAGGGCATCATGGCGCGGGGTCGCGGAACACTAATGGCTAAGTTTGATGTGGCCAGTGCATACCCGAATGTGGCTATCCATCCCGACGATCGCCCAGTCCCAGATGCAGTGGCGTGGAAAGTACTTTGTCGATCTGGTTCTCCCGTTTAAGTTGCGTTCAGCGCCATTTATTTTCACGTGTATTGCGGACCTGGTTGAATGGATCTTGGTTCATAATTATGGCGTGGACTTCCTACGCCACTACCTGGATGACTTTTTTACCCTTGGTCCACCGTCATCCCCGCTCTGACACTTCTATTTACTTACCTGTGTTTGCCTTTGTGAAAGGCTTGGCCTCCCCCATCCTGACAAGGTAGAGGGACCGTCGACTTGCTTAACTATCCTCGGGATTGAACTCGACTCCAATAGGCTTCAGGCTCGCCTGCCCACTGAGAAAAGAGACCGGATTGTTGCCTTACTTGAAGAGTGGTCCACCAAACGTTTCTGTAAGAGGCGGGAGTTGGAATCCTTGATTGGCCACCTCCATCACGCCTGCAAGGTTGCCCCACAAGGGAGGACTTTTCTTTGTCGGATGATTGACTTGCTTTGCGCCTTCCGCCTGGACGATCACCCCATCAGGCTAAACCTAGAATTCCGTCACGACCTTACCTGGTGGCGAGAGCTTTTTCAAACCTGGGATGGCCTCAGTTTCTTTTGCATGCCCACGTGGGCGCCCGTCCCGGACTTCCAAGTCTCGTCGGATGCTGCAGGCTCACTGGGCTATGAGGCTATTTTTAACACAAAATGGTTTTGCAGCGCTTGGTCTATGGAGCAACGGTCGTTATCGATTGCGTACAAGGAGCTCTTCCCCATAGTTGTAGCCGCCGCCTTATGGGGTTCTCAGTGGGTCTCTCGGCGGGTTGAGTTCCTGTGCGACAATGAGTCAGTGGTGGCTGTACTTAAGTCTGGCACTTCACGGGACCACCACTTGATGGGGTTGCTGCGTCATTTATCCTTGCTGGCTATACGCCACTCATTTATGTTTACTGTGTCTTCAGTTCGCGGCTTGGCCAATCCAGTAGCTGACTCCCTCTCACGCTTTCAATTTCAGCGTTTTCATCGTCTGTCACCCTCAAGCTGACCTGACTCCCTGTGTGATTCCCGAGTCCCTGCTGGCCGCACTCCAGATGTGTTGACCCAGAGGTGTTAGTTTCTGCTCTCCCAGGGACTCGCACCCTCCACTCGGCGTGTTTATCTCTCTGCTCAACGTCGCTATATTGACTTTTGCCGCCGGGATGGTCGCCTTAACAGCGATGGCTTCTTCCCTCCTGCCGATGAGGAGACTCTCATGCGCTTTGCTTCACTCTTTGCCGACAACTTGACCCACGCATCTATAAAAGTATACCTGTCAGCAGTACGTTCATTTCACATTGACCATGGCTTGTCGGACCCTTTCGTCAACTGCCTTCACTTGCAGCGTTTGCTCAGGGGAATTAAGCGGGTTTATCTGCGGGATCATCTGCGGGCGATTCAACATCATCTGGACTTCTCCATGAGAGACCATGCGATGCTGTGGGCGGCATGCTGTTTGGGTTTCTTTGGTTTCTTACGAGCTGGGGAGTTCACGGTGAATTCTGCATTTCAGCCTAGTATCCATATGACTGTTGCTGACCTGCAAGCTGATTCCCTGGTGAATCCTACCTGTTTTAAAGTTCATATCAAGTGCTCTAAGACTGATCCGTTTCGCATGGGCTGTGATATATATGTGGGGCGTGGTGAGGGCCCAGTGTGTCCCATCCGTGCCTTGGGCAACTTCTTGGCTCTGCGTGGCTCTTCTGAGGGTCCTCTCTTTACTTTTAGTGACGGTCGCCCTCTTACTCTGCAACAGTTGTCATCCACAGTTCCGTCTATCTTGCACGCAGCTGGCTACACTGGCTCCTATTCAGGCCATAGCTTCCGTATTGGGGCGGCAACTACAGCTGCTGCTCAGGGAGTTCCGGATCATCTGATCAAGACCGTAGGCCAGTGATGCCTACCAGATTTATATTCGCACTCCAGTTAGCTCCATCGTCCACGTTTCCAGACAGCTGGCTGCATAGCAGGTATCTCTACTACCTTTGGGGCTGCCGTGGGGGTGGGTGCCTCAGGTTTGGGCCCTCGGGGCCTGGGGCTCTGCAGCCCCGAGCCCGCTTGCTCCGGGTTTCCTACCCGGAGGTCCCTTCGGCTTGGCGCGGGGGGGCTCTTGGCTGGGTTGCGGGTTGGTAGGCCTGTGGGTGTTCTTCCGCCTTGGGGTGTATTGCGGTTGCAGCCCCCGGGCCCATGAGCACCCAACCTCCACTTGCGACACAGGCGTTAAATACTATTAAATCATATTTAATGTAGTTAACGACTAGGAGCTATGGTCTCGGGTGTTTTTGGCATTCTTTGGTAGCGCGTTGGTGGGCTGTAGCGTTGTGCGTGACTATGTTTGCGTTTGTAGAGTTTACCATTGTTCGAGAGCATGGGGTAGATTCCTGTCCAGCCGTATGTCGCTTTGGCGCATGCGGAGGCCACGTGCCTACGTTGTGTTTGCGTTGTACTCGAAGCTTTGTTAGCGTGGCGTTTCTCTTGGTTCCCCTCCCTCCCTCCGCTTTCTTTCTTATTTATTTATTTAGTTATTTATTCTTTCAGGGGTTGGTTCATTTTACTTCCACTGGGCTTCTGGCCTCAGTGTGACAGGTGCTATAGTGGGGGGCTGGGCGCGGGGGGGTCGTGGCTGGGTTGCGGGTTGGTAGGCCTGTGGGTGTTCTTCCGCCTTGGGGTGTATTGCGGTTGCAGCCCCCTGGCCCATGAGCACCCAACCTCCACTTGCGAATGCAGGCATTAAATTCTATTGAACATTTTCAACAATTTATTATTGCGTTGCTTAAAGTTTTCCATTGATGGTTGATTATAATCAATCACTGGCACACCAATACATGATACAAATAGTAAAAACAAAAACATATAGATATTTCCAGCAACAATTTGCATTATTAACTTTGATCACATAGCAGCACAATATTGCAAATTTATGACATAATACTTGAGCTACAATCGGCGACAAAATGAGTTGACACTCTTCACCCAAAACTTGGCTTTTTTACATTTTGTTAACTTCCAAAGGAGGAAATATAGCTTTCCTCCCCCATCCCCTCCGTGCAATGTTGTGCCCTTCTTCTAGCTACCTAGAGAAAACAACAAACACCCCAACTTTGAATGGACGGGATAGGGGAGGGGTGCGGACTCTTTTGTTCCCCGAAGTTACCCTATCTGAGTACAATGTCTCAACAATTTTGTTGCCGATTGTAGATTAGCTTGGGGCCTAAATTGTACATAAAAAAATTATTATTATCTGTAATGTGATGATATTGCATTGTGTTAATGTCCAGTCAGATTTTGGTATTTGCACATGTGCACTTGGGCTTGCTTTTCTCACAGTTTACTGTCATGGCCGCAAGTGAGTCTACTATGCCCTGATTAAACAAGTTGAAGTTTAAGAACGTGAGCCAGTTCTTTATAAATAATACCATCATAAGTAGGTTGAGTATGATTGTCCGGGTGATTGAGTCCTGAATAGGACTTTTGTTGTTGACATGCAGTGACTGACGTTTCGACAACTTGTGCGGTAGTCATCTTCAGAGTCAAAGTGAGTTGTATCACATAAGATGATGGTATTAAACTCTGGTTATTTCACCTGACTGATCAATTAAAATGCGATGTTATTGGTCCTCAGTCATTTAAGCCATGATGTTATTGGATATCGGGACTTGAGATGTCATTGGTGCGTTTTGATCCTTGTCTTGTCACAGTCAAACAATTGTAAATTGTTAGCCAAATAAATATTGTCAGTCGTCCAGTTGTTCTTTTGCAGTTAGTTTTGCTTGATTCTGATCTGTCCATAAGTCATTTGTACGGTGCTGGTAACTGTTGACTACGATTTAGTGGCATTTGTTCCAAGTAAGTAACCCAGCTTTCTTTCACTTTGAAACATAAATTCTGTGCAATTTTTATTTCAAAGATTCATATAGCTATGTACTTACAGAGTAATTATTACCGCAGTTGTGTATTCCGGTTCTTTCTTGCAGTAAATAGGTTTAGCCTCTTTGCTTCCTGCTTCAGCAACTCGTGCACTGAATTCAATCGTTATGTTAACTAATTTAAGAACTGAAAAGGAAAAGAGAGACCATATAATTTTAGTACTCTGATCACGCTGTTAACTACGTTATATTGTTATACTTTTGAGTGCTATCACTTAACCTTGACATTGATTTTCACTGCGAGTAAAACATAAGTAAAATCCACAAAAACATTATTTTAACAAATGACATTTATGATAACAGATTTTTGAAAAGTGGTCAGTCATAGATTTCTCCCCAGAGACAAGCTGTACCATTAATTTTCAGGCAAATGCTGCAGGGAAAAGGTTCCGTTTAATCATGAGCTGGTGTCTATCAAGAAGACAATTTGCCAATGACATCATGATGATGCCGAAACCTCAGCTTTTTACACTCTTTTTTAATTATCTCTGTTCCCCTAAATCGCTGTTCGTTAGCAAATTTCTTGCAATTATTCACACAAGAGAGTGAGACTGGTCCTTCTACAAGAGCTGAGTATAATGCAGTTCAGCTGGAACAGACATGCTCCATTTACAGACAGTTTAGTCTGGTGGGGTAATTCTGACAAAGCTCACTTAGAAAAAAAGGAATGCTGATAGAGCAATTTTCGTATGACCTTGTAAAATGGTTTTGGCAAGAGTTTGCTATTTGTTTTATCAGCCAATGGATAAAGAGGTCAAAACATGGCCTCTTCTTTTTCCCGCCAAAGAAAAACCTAATATGGAGAAGGCAATTTCGATTGGCCAATCATGTTGCAGTATGAAGTCAAAGCAAAGTATCGGTTGATTTCTAGAAAGTTCTCCAGCATGAAGGTTTTTCATCCAAGGTTCACTTAACCAACCAAATACCACGCATGTTTGTATCTGTTTGATGAACCAATCAAATTGCTCTATTTCTGTTTGTTTGTTGTTTCTGTTTTGTTTGTACGTTTTTATTTCAAGGTCATACAAAAATTGCTCTAAGATGAACCAGTGAAGATTAAAGTTGATATTGACCATCTGAAAAAATCAGAATGCCCCTCAGGGTGCAAATAAAGACAGTTTTGCAGCTTGCTTTTGGGGCAAGTTGAAGTTAGCATGTACTATCCAGAAAGTCAGTTTGACTTGCACCCCCCACCCCCCCCCCCAAAAAAAAATCTTGACCAGCAGGATTGATTACACTTCTATAAAATTATTTGAATTCCCCAGGAAAACTTCACGTGCAAGTGTATAACTTGGGATGAGCAAGGAAAGTAGAGTTCTTTCACACTTCCACACCATGGAGAACTACATTGTATAAGGATGAAAAAGGAAAGTAGGGATCTTGTGGCCAGCGCTGGACATTATTTTAAGGGCAAGTTAAGAACAGAATTCACTAGCCCAATAGCAAAATACGCTAGCCTCGGGATATCAGACACCACCTTCTTTGCATGCTGCCCAGCTGATCATTGATTATAATCAAATAAGTACTACACCATGCTTTTGTACACCATGTATATGATCTGTATCATATAATGCAAAAAAATGTATCACTGCAGTCCTAGTTAGCATAAATGAAAAAATAAATGTTTTAACATAAACAATGGCTAACTTACAGGCAAGAAATTTATCCACCAAGTTAGTTAAATCGTGCTCATCACATTGTTTGGGTGCACATATTCCCCATTGTATAGGAAATGCCTGGAATAATAGAAAAGAGAAAAGTTACTCTTAGTAAATAAGGAGTATCAGTACTTAAAAGTTCACTACACACATCATTTTCCCCTCTTTCTAAAAGTACAGCAGGGGTATTTCATTTGCTTAATGTAGAACGCTGAATGTAGAATACAGAATGCCAAATGACACTGAAGTTTAGTGATTAGGGGTAGGAAACAGAGTGAATAAAGTTTTAGGTCAACTTCAGTGACGGATCCAGACGTTCATATAAGGAAAGGGCCCAGTCATCTAGACCCTGAGATGAGAGGGGGGGTCTGGTCTCCAAAAATTTTTTTTGGGCCTTCAGCCCTTAGTATGGTCTAAAAATAAGGGCCCCCCTCCGGATCTACCACTGAACTTTTCCGGTATAATGACTCACTCTGTTTCCTAACCATATAAATCACTAAATTTCAGATTCATGTGGCCTTTGCATGGGTGTATGGAAAAGCCGGAATCCGGGACCGGCACCGGCACCGGCACCGGCACCGGAACTTAAATTGAGACCAAAACTGGGAACTGGGAAGCACTGAAACCAGTTCCAATACCCATGTGGGAATAAAATTCAAGATGGCGTCCTCTGTTATCATTGTTTTGAGAAATTTTCAGCACAGTGATTGTGATACCAATGATATACGCACATTCGGAAAGTGACGTGCAAAAAAAAGGTAAGTGCATCCTACTGTTATTCCTAGCAGTCATAAACTGTGACTGCAGCTGTAGGTCAAGCAATTTTCGACAGATCGAGACTAGAACTAATCAGAAGCCGATTGACTGCAAAAAACAGCCATTATTAGTGTGATGTTTAAGACCGCTGTGTTATTCATTTCCTTCTCTTGAGCCTAAGTTACTCATTTCTTAAAAGGGCTCCGTGTTTCAACCATTGTGAGGAAAAGGCGGCAAAGGGAAGGGGAGTACTCATGTCAATCATGATCCCAAGTTGCAACACTCATGCGTATATGAAATTCTCGAAGAAAAATTTTGCACCTTACGCAAAAAATGCAACAGTAAAAAATATAATGACAATAAATAACTATAATGTGGGGATGAAAAGTCTTGATCGAGCAATAATTGTTAGTGACACTCTCAAGACAGAAACGTCTCCAAGTTTTATTTCTTAGGTTCGGGTTCCAGTTCTGGTTCTGGTTCCGGTTCCGGTTCCGGTTCCGTTTCCAGCTCCGGTTCCGGATTCCGGATTCTGGCTTTTCCACAGGCCCCTTTGCATTGTTCATTCAGCATTCAGCATTCTGCGAAAGACCCCTGCCACTAAAAGTATGAATTTATACAATCTTCTTTTAGGAAGTAAAACCTTCGAAATACTTAATATCCACTCCCCCCTTATGGGACTTTTCAGGGATAATGAAACAAATAAATCTAAATGGAAAAACAAGGTTATAAAATCCCATTTGGTAGTAGGCAAACCAGTGGGCTTTAATTTACAAGTATGGCTGTGGATTTGAACTCAGGACTACCCAGAACAAATCCAGCTAGCAGTTAGGGCAGGGCTTGAACTCGGAGCCTCTGGATTACAAATCCATTGCTCTAACCGCTTGGCCACGCTGTCTCCTTGCAGATAAAGACGCGGATTGACAAACTTAAAGAAGTTTGAAATGGATTGCCAGCATGCAAAGAAAGTGGTGTCCAATAACCTGGGACCAGTGGATTTTGCTATCAGGCTAGTGAATTCTGTTCTTAACTTGCCCAACGGGCAAGTGATTTTTTTCTTGGGGAATTCAAATTACAGAAGAAATGTAATCAATCCTGCTCATCAAATCTTTTTCAGGCTAGTTGAAATGCTAATTTCAGGCTAGTACATGCTAGCTATAGCTTGCCCGAATGGCAAGCTGTAAATCTGACTTTCTTTGCACTCTGATTGCACTGAAAACCTGTCAGCCTAACAGTTCTTCAAACTTCATTTTTGTAATTTTTAACATTTGAAATGACTTGATATAATGCTACACAAATAATAGGAAACATTTGTTTGATACTAAGCTGCAGTTTTGCCATTCACAAGTTAAAATGTATTTCTCAAGTTCCATCACAAACATGGATGGTAATCAAATTTAATGGTGAAAGCATTCTCACCTTGGTCAGTGGTTGAATAGGTGTATCAAAGAAGGCCATGCAGTAATGTGCATCAGGAACATACTTTGTGCACTCATCATACGATCCTAACCAGGCAAGATTTCCAACAAGAATTCCACTTGAAGGTTTACCAGTAGCATCCAAGTCTGAAAAAAATAATGAATCTAATATTATTCTGTTGATTATCAATTAAAATCAATCATTGATCAAAATCTTTTAAAGACTTGTGAGGAAAAAAATTCAATCTATTATTTCAAGAAAAAAATGCAATAAGATAATAATGTTAAACACTTGAGTGTTGTCTTTTTCATGGTCTCATAATCAAATAAGAAAGGAAATTTGATCACCTATAATCTCTGGTGACAGTTAGAAAATTTGGGGTCATTATACGTCTCTGGGAAACTGCCCACCTACCCCTCCCCTAAGCCAACATTTTGCCCCGGGTGAGAGGTAAGTGTTGATGTTGGCTTAGGGGAGGGGTAGGTGGGCAGTCTCCCAGAAACATATAATCATCATGCTTTCAGCTTAGGGTAACTGTAAAGGAGGATGTTACCATCTTCCCAGCATGCCTTGTGCCTATTTCAGGGTGATTGTCTCCAGTCTATGTGATGAAAACATGAATTTTACTGAAAGTTTCTGAGAAATTTTTGCCACTTTAAAGATGAGATATGGAGGTAAACTAGGTCTGCATAATTTCTCATCTTTCATTAGGAAGAAAGAATGATTTCCTGATTAAATTATCCTGTTTTCTGTAAGATTTGACCATGTGACCTTTCTTTTGTCATGCGTCATTGCTTATCTGTTGTATTCATAGTGTTTTTGAGTTATTCATTTCCGTAATCAAACAAGGAGGTGATGGAGAATTGAGACAAAAATCCATGCTATTATACTTCAAGCATTCTAACTAACCCAATTGACTCCTTTTGACTCCGCATTTTCCCAGCAAAAAATTTTTCATCTTAAACGTGGAGTATTATTGGAGCTACTTATTACGATTAGAGACAAGTTCGTGTTGCAGGAGTGCATTTAGTAATATTTTCAACAAGTTTCCAATCAAATAGTAGCATTCATTTACTTATTCTTATATTCAGACAGGAGATTACTATAACTGTAGTTATTGTTTCACAACAGTAGTGTTGGAGGTCAACAACTTGTTTGAAGCTGCAAAAGATGCGTACATGTTGGTCTATGGGCCAGCAAAGTAAGATACCTACTGGTCATGTTAATCATGGATGAATATTTATTGCGTACTGAGCTTCTTGTAGCCAGCTTCTTTGATATCTTCTACAGTAAATGCATATTTTACCACAAACCACATACCAAGCTTTTTTTAAAAAAAAGTATTACTGAATATTATTTTATTTCACAGCGGACCCCCCTAGCAAGGGTTCATCAGACTGGTATAAGCTTTTATTTACAAAATCTTAAACCTGAGAAGGGCATCGGTAGAAATTCTATATTGTACAATCGATACAGTTTACGTGGAGTATGCTGGATTTCTAAAAAATTATTTCATGTTTCCCTGTTACCTCCGCGGTGACACTTTCGAAAATAAAATGAGCCACACTGGGTTGGCCGTTTTGACCACAATGCATTACAGGATGATGGTAATATCCTCCTTTAGTAATTGCAACATAAACCAATCACATCCTGCAACATTCCCCTATAAGTCAATCAGCATTGTGATCAAATCTGACCACAGTGTATCCTGCGAGCAGAGGCCCTTCCATCTTCCCAGATAAGTCTTCCCGACTTATCTAGGAAGATCGAAGGGCCTCTGCTCGCAGGGTAACCGCAGCGTAACAGCCTGGTGAGAGTTTGTATCGGGCCCAGCGTAGGGTCTGCCGGATTATGCCGGCATAATTTTGAGCATAATACTATATCTGGAGCATCAGGCATAATGCTGGCATAATACTAATATTTTTGGAGCATAATGCCTCTGTGTCTGAAAACTGTGAGAGGTGTATGCAAATTTTGCCAGCTTCTCGCTCTTAGCGACGCTCTGGAATGTACATAGTTGATAAAAGTGGGAATATTTTAACTTGATACATTAGACTTGTTCCCAGTGCATTTTGCTATAATCCAAGTTCATTGGAGAAAGACATATATAAAGCCTTTCAATGCCTCACAATTTCCAACCTTTCGCTTGCTCATCAAATGTTTAACTGAATAATTATTGTCTAACAATTCTTTCAAAAAGGAAAGACTAGGAATGTTTATCAATAGGTACAGGCCTATTGGGGGGGGGGTGGAAGTGTCATTTTAGACCGGCATAATTTGAGCATAATAACTCCAGTCGAGCATAATTTTGAGCATAATACCCTAGTTTCACGGGGGACGCCCGAAAGCATAGTACTCTATTTTTCGAGCATAATCCGGCAGACCCCAGTCCAGCGTGGCCGTACATGACATTGCAAAAATTGGGCCAGATCTCAGCTCAGGTTACGTACTGCGAGATAGTGTAGCGCGCTGCAAACTTGCTAGCTTGAGAAAACAGCCGACAGTCCCTCGAGTGAGTGGCAACTGATTAAGTGATTCAACGCCTAGTTGGCAATGCTGCTATTAAAGTTTCACACTAAAGAAGCTACACTTGCTGAGTAGGCCACCATGAATTAACGGCCGGGCGGCGAGATCGCGCGAAGAATTCATTCTTTTGGCAATAAAACAGAAAAAAGGCTAATTGTTCTTCGATTCAACCTTCAAATTGACCGAATGCGTTAAAGCGTTTATTTTAGTCATACTTACAAGACTCCAGAAGTTTGGGGTTACTAAACAGAATGTGGAGGCTGTAGTTGCATTGCACAGAGACGTTAAGAGACAAACTGGAAATTACGGGAACTGGAAATGGAACTCCAAACTTTTGTGCAATTTGCCTGTAGGAATCAGAAAGCAATCCAGGAGATGCAGTTGAAGGTGTTGCAAATGGCAGGAAAACGAGAAAACTGGAGAAAAATACCAACGCACACGAAGAACCTGCCGCCATTTTCCCGGCGTTTATCTTCAGTCACAAGATCTACATGACGTCATTTCTTACTTAAAAGTAAGACAAGTAAAGATATATAATGATGTCATTGTTGACAGCAGTGCCTTTCAAAATATTTTCGACAGCTTTAACAAGTTCCTTCAAACGTAAATCAGCCTCCCTTTTCTTCCTTATTTTACAAATAAAGTTTACAGCTGTTTTTGATCGTCCATTTCCCGGGTCCATTTGGATCTGCATTGCCCTGGGTCGATGATGTTTCTATAAACTTTAGCTCGCTAGTGAAGCTTTTAAAAGGGCTCTTGAGTTGGTTCTTAAGTGTATGAATATAAGATAGGTTTACTTTACCAAATAACTTAACTTTATTTATTTTTTCGGTATTTTACGTTTCCCATTTTTTCCCGTACAAAATCATTAGAAGGGCACACAGTTTATTAGCTTGGGTAGCCTGTGCACAGAGCTCATAAAGTAGTCAGTTTCTATTTTTATGAATTGACCCATTTTTTATATTGAGTGAAGAACACTTTACTTTTCATCAGGAACCCATAACCCGGAGCGAGCAACCTCCAGGCGCTTGTGTCACGGCGTTGTCACGGACCAGTTTATTTTTAGAACTGTTTTGGCGCGAGTTTTTAGATATCTTTAAATTCCAAAAACCAGTCAGCAAAACCCACAGACCTAAAAATGTGATTTTTTTGCCTTTTAATAACGTTTAGTTTTTGATATCTTATACTTCGAATGCGCTCATAGACATGGTGGAGATTCTATTTTCGCTGGAAAAAGTGCCCTATGATGTGTCTAAAAATAAACTGGTTCGTAAAAACGCCGTGACTTAGGCCTAGTATGGAAGTTGCTCGCTCTGGATTATGGGCTCCTGTTTTCATCTACAGTACAAACATTCTGGTACGTTTGCTAACCGTAGATATGAAGAACTATCTTACCCAAAAAAATCAGAAAACGTGCGACCCCATTCTAGTAACTCTATTGAAAATACGACCCCATTATAGTCAATCCGGTCATGAAAATGCGACCACATCCAGCGGCACATCCCCAACAACATCCCCATTAGCCTCTTATGAGCAAGTAGACTTGCCATGTTTTAGTATAAAGAAGATAAAAAAACTTAGAGCCAGGAGCCCATGTTAGAGCTAAGCTAAAACTTACTGCACTTTCAATAACATGCGACCGAACACAGAAGTTCAAAAGCAACGAACCTTGAAACACAAAAACACCCAAAACGGATCGAAATCCACCAATCACAAATCACAAACCACGACCTTTTGTTTCCTAAGACATCCGCTAAGATCTGAAGGCGAGAAAGCGCCGATTCTTAAGATTTTGATTGACGTTGCAGAAAAACCCCAAATCCAAAGACGTTTTTGACATCGCAGGTCGGGTGCTATCCGAAACAGCTGTAATCTAATTGACTCAAGGGTTTCAAAAATAACTGTCACGAACGCAGTTTGCACTTGAAGATATTGGACTCTGCCCCTTTCACGGTTCAAGAGGGAAAGAACAAACTTGTTTACGAGATCATTTTGCTCAATAAGATTTTAAGAAATCACCTCCTTTCCGAAAATGTAAAGATTGTGGCAAAGTATGAAACTGAACGACTTATTAGTGTTCATAGTGAAACAACTCACTTCTCTAAAAAGAAATGGTTTGTATCTCCTAGCAATTTTGTTTGAAAATAGGTATTTTCCCCTCTCGTTTCCTACTCAATTGTAATTACTATTTGTTATAATTGCTTACTTTACTTGTAAGTTTAAGTGTAAGTTAGTTATTTTATTTTATTATTATTTTGTTCCCTTTCTTTGCTGTATAATTTGTGATTTATGTGGTTAATAAAGCATTTTAAAAAAGTTACAATGCTATGTTTACAAAGATCACCAAAAAATTATTATGGTTAGTGCACCCTGAAGAAATTTGTTTGATTTCTTCTTCATAACTTTGCAGGAGAACTTTGCGTATGCTTTAAGGTACTTAGTATCGATAAGTAATGACTTCTGCACAGGATTGATCAAACACAGCAATTGTTGGCTTCACACTAGAGCTTCAAGTATAATGTAAGTGTACTTAGAACCTACTTTGAATGTGAAGAGGTAAAATGTACCTATTTCAACTTTACTTGGTGACCATGGAAACGTGACCATGGAAACGTAAACGTAATTGGTGACCATGGAAACGTTATGTGCCATGTGCTCGTGTAGCGGTTCCAAGATTCTAATGAACGGACGAATTGACAGCTTTTACTTCAGGTAATATACTTTGTCAACAAGTGTACTGAGCTATGTTTTCTACAGAGCGACTTAAGATTTCCAAGTGCACTAAACTTGAATCAAGTGCTTACTTGAAATTAACTTCGCTTCTAGTGTGAAGCCAACAAATATTCTCATGACATAGACCCTTTATTATTTGACGTCAGAACTCAGCGTTTCGTTTTAAAAATCAGCTTCTCCAGTTGTATCATCGGAAACTCGACACACACTGAAACAATGAAGGCTGCAGCATATGAAAGGACCACCGAACCAGTAAAGAAAAAAGCCTGTGGAGAAAAAAGAGAAAACACAAATAATTCCTAGTAAATAGATCATAAATAAAGCCTCCAAAATCACTGTTGTGTACAACTTCTTTGCCAGGGTTTCCCTCTTACTCGTCCCCCGGAGCGAAGACAAGAGGATGAGTAAGAGAGGACCCTGGGAACGAGGTTGTGTTGTATGAGTTGGTCATTTTGAGTTCCAGCGTGAAACTGGGCCGGTGTTGTGACGAACTTCACCATGTGATTGTTTTAGGTATGCGATCGCTTCTTTCATTGGCTATTACAAAGTTGAGCCAGAGACTGGGTCAAACTTTGGCCCCGAAAAACAGTCCCCTGGTGCAATTCGGCAAAACATCGACCCAGACTCAAACGCGAACTTAAAATGGAAGAAGACCTTGGTGTATATGTTGTGGTTCAATTTTATCCTTGGTTTAAATTTTATTTTTCATTGTTTCAAACTCATTATCATACATTAATGACAGAGTATTGTAAGATAGCCCTAACCTTGGAGTTTGTGGACGAAACCCTATAGTGCGACCATTTAAATGAAACCTCTTTGGTCGTTTTTTGACATGATAATGTTTGTTCACAATGACAATGAATTTTGAAATTTTGGTCGCATTTTGACTTTCACCACTTCAAAGGCCAAAGTCAAGTGTTAACGGTAAGCTAGATTAGAGGAAGTTCTACTCACAATATGGACATCTGAATAATCGTAATTAGTCTGCTGCGAAGCGAGATATGTGAGCAGGACGATAGGATGAACCAGGTAGGCACAGTAAGTCAGTCGACTTAATGGGATCCAGAAATGAGCTGACAGAATTTTGTCCACCAAACCTACAAAATAGAAAACCACAGAATTACTTGAAATGAGCTCAAACCTGATTCTGCAAAATTTTCTTTTTTCCAAAATAACGAAAACAGATGGTACCAAACGAAAGCTGCAAAGAAAAAGTGTATTGCACTTGCTCAGTGTAAAGTGCACACTCCTCTAGTGCAATCAAATGCCGTATTTACTCAATAAAACGGCCTCTTGAATTGATGACAACCTCAAACGCCGCAGATGGAAGCAAAATTATCAATAAACGCCACACCCAATCAGAAGAATGCGGCGTTTATTCGCAGATTATGAGAAACAACTTGGTACAACTTGGTAATCTACTCCATTCAGACACACTGCGATTCTATCCCACCAAAAAGGTGAGATATTGGAACTTTAACACATCTTTCTCTTTTTTACACAATATTTAGGGAAAAACTCAAGAAAATTACAGTCATTGAAATTAATTACAGTCAAGGTCAATGAAACACTGAGCAAACGGCCCAAACATATGTCTAAAGTTAAGGTTTTTAATACATACGTGGCCAATATTGGGCTAAAGAGGCGCTATGCCTCGGAAGATTCATTGTCGACGCCCGACGAGTGGTAAACATGACAACTGTGCAGGTGTTTCCGTAACACTTAAAATGACTGAAAGACTAAATAGTGAATGACTGAATCAGCTGAATCAACACCCTGTCTCGCCCCCAGTCGTCTTCGCGTAACGCGCGCGGCGGGAGCAGGGGATGATGGGTAGGAAGACGCTCTCTCTCGAGACGACTGGGGAAGAGTCAAAACAACTCTTACCTCCGAGCCCGCGATGACATGCAAAAATCACCCAAGCTAGTGCCAAGCCCCATGCGCAGTGTGAGAAGGTCCCGTATATGATATTTTCGGCGCGAGTGAAGGGCTTTGGATTGTCCTTTCTCACAGCACTGTATTTACCGTAGAGCGTGGATAAAGCGACAACGATCGCAACACACCACCCGGCAGCGTTGAATATATATGTACGCACCTAAGAGAGGGAAGAAGTTTCAGGAACCTGGTTGTGTTTACATTGTTTTATCACAAGCCTGCATACCAGGCGCTTTATGAGCCAAACGAGGCGAACGTGGTATTTTGCGCAAAACGCAAAAAGAAAGCGAAGTGCGCGCACGTTTCGCGTTTCGCTCAAAATGCCGCGTTTGCCCCGCTCGGCTAATAAAGCGCCTGTTATGCAGGCTATTTTATCACTTGCACTAAAAAATAAAACTCAACATCAAGTCATTTGAAAAGTACTTTTAGAGCGATTTTCGTATAACCTTGAAATGAAAACGCGCGAACAAAACGAAAACAACAAACGAACGGAAATAGAGCGATTTGATTGGTTTATCGAAAGGATACAAACGCGCGTGGCTTTTGGTTGGTTAAGCGAAAGTTCGGGTGAAAAATCTTCACGAACGAGAACTTTCGATATTTCGCTTTGACATCATACTGCAACAACTGGCCAATCAAACAATGCCTTCTCCATATTAGGCTTTTATTTTACGGGAAAACGAAGAGTCCATGTTTGGATCTTTTCACCCATTGGCTGATAATACAAATAAGGAACATTTATCGAAACCATTTTTCAAGGTCATACGAAAATACGTGAAAATCGCTTTAACATTTTATAATATTTCTTGGTTCTCCAAACCAGCAGTCTGAGTCACTGTATTGGTTTTTTGTTGTGGCATTTTCTTCATTTTTATATAAGAACAAGGCTGAATTGGTTGTTATAAATATGGTGCTTTATTAGCCAAAGTTTAATCTGATGTTCTTAATCCGCTCGTTCTCATAAGCTGGTGTTTACTGTACTGCTAGTAGACCACATCAGGACATTTGCCTTGCTTATGTAATCTATAGTTACGCAAGTGGAATGGTTATGAAGCCTGACAGACTCCTTTGTTATATGTTTTTGTTCTCTTTTTTGGACCTGGCCGTACACAACGTTCATTAGCATTTCTATCATTTTGAACTTACTGACCTATAAAAACATTGCATTGATTGAGCACGGTGAAGGAACTTCCAAAATAAAGTGGAGCACCGTTGTTTTCATCTTTGATTTTACCAGCTTTCATAACCGGTGTCCTCTACTAACTGGAGACCTTAAAGGGACAGGTTCACGGTTCGGCGCATGCTCATTTATCAAAATGCTGTTTTTCTGCCGCGACTTGTTGTATCGTCTATGCAAGCAATGTGATCATGTCATAATGATGTCGAAGAACCAATCTGCACGCTCCCCTGGCAGTCACTGGATCAACTTATGTGCAAATAACCGTAAATTAATCAAAGATGGAATAAAACCTTCGAGTCAACAATAAATTTAACGTTGGTAGTGTTGGCGTAATCCACTAATTTTTTCCTGTGATTTTAGTACTCCTCCATCCCACTTCAGGTTACTCTGAAATACACTTCTACTTTGAAATACACTCTGAGATCGCTGAGATAGATGTGAGTGGAATTATTAATCGATAGAATTAATAATAAATGAAAAAAAGTAATTTAATTAATGAGCATGGACTTAACCGTGAACCTGTCCCTCTAAGATTCGAGGACGAGGACGAGGACGACTACAAGTACGAGATTTGACTTTAAGTTTTTTCCTGCATTATCAAAATATAGACTCTCCGGAAAGCTTTATTTTACCATTTTTCCTTAGAAAAGTTAGCACTGTCATCTTTAGTGAAGGAGGTTACGCCCTCTCCCGATCGCAAAATGATAAACGTCTAACATTTGACGACTTCTTCCCGCCACTTCGACATTCTCGCTAAAACTCGTAGTAAAATGACGACTGCTACCACTTTTTCGCGCCAAAATGAAGCTGCTTCACCCGCGAGCACTACTTAGTGCTGAGACTGAGAAAATCCCGTACTCGTTGTCATACTCTTCTTAGAATCTAAAGGTCTCTACTATGTGTAATCTTAGACTGAGAAAACAGTCGACATTTCCGACGCCAACTATGGTTTACCTACAAAATGACGCCTGAGGAACGACTGCGGAAATTCTATACTGATGATGCGTCACTACCCAGATCTGGTTAGTGCTTCTGATTGGACGAAGCAAATTTCCAACCAATCAGAAGTGCTATCCAGATCTGGGCAGTGACGCGTCATCAATATGGAATTTTTGTGCTCGTTTCTCAGACCTCATTGCGCGGGGAAACCAGAGGTGCCGTCGGGAAATGTCGGCTGTTTTCATAGCGGTGTATTCTGACCTGCGTTAACAAATAAGTCATGTATGTACATATGTTTTAACTTGTTACCTTAGACATCTTCCAGTCCTTAAAGTGTAAAATTATGTATCCTAACAGCATACCAACAAGGTACGGTGCAATGCGACAGTAAGGTTTCTCATAAGTTAGAGAGCCAGAATCTATATCTATAGCCCTGCAACAACAAAATTATTCGCATATGACCGAAAGGTGGAAAAACATAAAACTATAAAATTTGACGTGTTGGAGGCCGACCCGCTACAAAATATATCCAAATCAATCTACCGAACAGACTGAAAAATTGCATCCTCTCAAATCACAGCCCATGTTTTCTGAAGCTTCCCGAACGGAATGGCGCAAACCATTTGATTTTCCAACCGCAATTTCCTAGTTTTCCCATGTAAATGGCAAGTACCCCAGGTGTTCGCAATTAAACATTAGCTAGCGCTGGATATTGGAAATTCCGGATCAATTTAGGTTTCTAAGAAACTGTCCAACTACCCCTCCCCTGAGCTAACATTAACAATTACTTCTCACTCACTTAGGGTAAAATGATGACTTAGGGGACGGGTAGGTGGGCAGTTTACCAGAAACCTAAATTGATCGGAAATTCCTTATCCCAGAGATGGTCAGGATAGCAAGGTAGACTGTTTATAGATCGTTGATATCAAGCAAGGGAGAAACGGGTGACAACCTTGGTTTCAAGAGTACCATGGGGGCGGGTGTCGGGAATTATGGCGAAGGAAGGAAGGAGGCACCCCAAACGTAACCTGCGAGAAATTTCTCCAGGGGGTGCGGGAGTGTTCTACCGAGGAAGCTTACTTGCAGGCCATGCCCAAATGTTAACACCCGTAAAGGGCCTTCTCCGCCATCTAAATTGCTGTTTAGGGAAACTAGTAGAATTAACAATTAGTTCATGCGTCAGCGTGCGTATGTCGAGATATTGAGCACGCGGGAAGTTTGGAGAGCACGAAAGAGGCGTAAGAGTTGCACGAGGCGCAGCCGAGTGCAACTCTAGCCTCTTGAGTGCTCTCCAAACTTCCCAAGTGCTCAATAACTCGACATACGCACAGCTGCAGCATGAACTAATTGTTTTATAACATCATCAAAGCGATCAATGCATCAGTTAACTTATAATTTTATTATTGTAGGGTGCGATCAAAGCAGTACGCGTCAATGTTTACGTGACTATATATTTTTTTCCTCACAGTTAATCTTATGTTTTTATCCTGAAACTGAGAGAAAGTGTACTCTAAAATGATTATAAAATCCATATTTAGGTGCCGGAAAACTATTAATTTACCGAAAAATTGTTATTGAGAGAAAACAAGTTTGCAAAGAATGAACTCACGCCATTGCCCGCACAGCTCGCGGAGATGACAACAACAACAACAACAACACTCACCTCTTTTCCTTACTATCGGTTAACAAATTCAAACGTTTCCTCTTAAATTTCCTTATAAAACACATCGTAAACGCTTCCTTGTCTATTGCTGAGTTATGGATGCACTCAGGAGACTCAGGATTGCTAAGCTCACAACCACTCGAGGAATTACGAATAGTTTATTGACGTCATCAGCGTGCTCAATAGGAATATGAAGCACGCTCGCGCTATTGAATTTGATTAGGCGAATTTTCTAGCTATGTTATAAAAGACGTTGAAGCAAATCAAATACGCAGCTACCAATCACAATCACAAAATAAATGTAACAGGGCAAAATATTCGGTGCTTAACTGGAGGGCCTGAGCAAATGAACATTTCTGGGGTGACAAGTATGATTAAACACTCATGACAATTCTTACTCGTTAGCTTGTGCTTTCGCCCCTACGACTGCAAGGTCATAGCGAGCGTATATAATGGCTGTTGTAATAAAACTGGCACTCATAAGCACACCAACAATAATCAGCATTCCCACAAGACGAAACCTAACAAAACAGAAGCATTACATTAGAATCGATTTCACCTGCCCATACGACTTTTAAAAGTTTTTATTGCCTAGTACTTACAAAACTAGTTCATATATACCCCCAAAATATTAAAATTACAAATTACAATTTAAAAGTAAAGAATTCCGTTACTCCATACAAATCTGAAATTTAAAACTATTAAGCATAAACCGTATGGGGAACTGGTGGATATTTTGTTTAGAAAAACTCCAGGTATCACAAAGTGAAAATTTCTTTCCGTATATGCGAGTAAAAGATATTTGACCCTCCAAATGACAAACTGTGTTATAGTTTCGTGACATTTTTCGAACTTGTTTAGGTGGACTGTGACGATAGGTTTTGCCGTTGCAAGCACCAGTCGGGGAGTTAAGCGTAAAGAGAACTCGAGTGACTTCGGCGTCAGAACAACAGGGGGGAAAACTAAGTCGCAACTCGCTTGGCTAGCGGGAAAGGAACTCGTCACTATTCCAAGGTACAGGATCTGCTACAACTGGAAACAGGACAGGACTCAAACTTGGACTTCAACAGTTTAATCCTCAGTTCGTGAACGTAAATCATACAATCAGATGAATCCGCAATGTAAAAATCGTACAAGCATGTGAATCCGCAGCGTAAATCGTACAAGCATGTAACTCCGGCCCGCAATGTAAATCGAAAACCAGGAATAACAAAGCTCTATTTATACTAACCGATTAACCCATTAGAACATCACAAAACAAAAGGAAAGAAGGCTGAATAAAATCAGCTGAACAGCGAAAACAAATCTGAATAAATTCAGTTTAAAAGTTCATATGTTAAACTAAATAACTCAAAATTAAATGTCAGTCAAGCAAGTGAATTTAGGAAACCTACGAAGATTCAGCAGTAAAGCTGTGCAAAATAATTGGAGTTTCCTTTGCTCAGGATCCCTCAAAATGTCAAAGCTAAAAACTACGAACGGTTGGTATTTGAACGGGCGAAAGCTCCAGTTATTCAGTGACTAAGCTGTATAATTATCCGGAAACAAATTATCCCTTTAAAAGTAAACATTGAAGTAAAATGTGTATAATTTAAGGGAACTAAAACAACTCAATGCAAATTCAATGTAAATTACGGCTAACACAACTTCAAAGGGAATATTAAAAAGCTAGATATGAAATTCGAATCAAATAAAGAATACATGGGAAATCTCTCCTTACAGGACTAATTTTTTTTTATATACTTGTTTTAGACTATGTTTGAGTGGTATAACGTATTAGTAGTTACAAACCTTTTTTTTAATTGTTAGGGGTATAACTATTTGTATTTTCTCTGTTAGAAACGTGGAAAAAATTGTAGCCTAGGTCTTGGCTCCAAGATGGGAAAAAAGGGAAAACATCCGCGAGCAAAGCGAGCCACGCGAGGAGCTGGAGACAAAGCTAGTGAGGGGAAAAGGGCGGGGCAATCTCTCCCACATTCCTCAACCTCCCCACTTCCATTTTTTCTCTCGCCGTCTCCGTGCGATTTTTAGCTACCTACCCCAAAGCGGAGAGCCTGGTCAAAGGCTAAAAAAAAAATGCAAACAGGAAATTGTCACTTGCGTAAAGAATCCATGTAATTTATCGTGTAACACAAGATAACGAACTGGATTTACATTTTCGGTAGTTTCTTAATTCAAGTATTAAGTTGGGCATTAAATTTTTTTAAGGAAAATGTAAATCTTCCCTTGTTACAGTAGTCTGCTACACAGCTGTTTTTAGTGTCGTCACGCAACACTCCTCCCCAAAAACGTGGCGTGACGACACTAAAAACGGCTGTGTAGCAGACTATTGTTACAGTTAAACCTCCATTAAGCAGCCACACTCGGGATGACTAACCCTTGGTTTCGTACTTTGAATGAGCAACTATACTACAGTACATACTATGGCGAAACCTTTATTCTCAGGCTAAGGTGGCAATGTCTGTAACTGAAATGTTATTGTGAAAGGTTGAACCCAGGAGTCATTTCAAAAGTAGGTTGAGTTTGATCGTCCGGGTGAACGTAGTCCTGAAGAGGACTGTTGTTGTTGACAGTGACTGACATTTCGACAACCTGCGCGGTAGTCATCTTCGGAGTCAAAGTGAGTTGTATCACGTCAGTTGATGGTATTATACTCTGGTTATAGATCTGATTGGTCAATTATGTCGCGATGTTATTGGTCGTCTGTCAGTTAAGATGTCTGTCAGTTAAGCCGGCTTAACTGACAGACGACCAATAACATCGCGACGTAATTGACCAATCAGATCTACAACAAGAGTATTGACGTGATACAACTCACTTTGACTCTGAGGATGACTACCGCACAGGTTATCGAAATGTCTGTCACTGTCCTGGTCACTGTCAACAACAACAGTCCTGATTCAGGACTACGTTCACCCGGGCGATCAAACTCAACCTACTTTTGAAATGTTATTACAGGTCCACAATCAGTTGTCACCTGGCCGCTTTACCTTAACCCTTTAAGCCCTGAGAGTGATCAGCATCAAATTTCTCCTTGTAATATCAATGATTTGTAAAAAAGAGTGGTCATGAGAATTACGGACATGGTCACACAAGATGAATTTGCTTGATATTTTCTCAACTTCTCCCCACTACTTCTATAGGAAATGAATAGAGGCAACAAATAAGAATTCAAATTTGGATCTTAAGCCCGGTTCGAACGCCGATCTTTTCATGAGCCGAACCTAATACTTTGAATTGAGTACATTACAAGTTCGGCGTCTGAATCAATTAGGAACGCCTATTTCAATTTGGAACGGCTTTGATTCAGACGCCAAACTTTCCATGTACCGAACCTAATGCATACACAGGATACATTATTATAACATATTTTGCAAACAGTTCGACCGAAATGAGCATTTTTCTCCTTTTGAATTTAGTTCGGCTGGAATTAAGATCGATGTCTGAATCAATTAAGGCGGTCTAAATAGTTTGGGTCGGCCTAAATTCGAATTAGGTTCGGCTTTTACTTTTACTTTATTAATCCGCAAAGGCGGTAACCATCGCGCGGATATAAAATAATAATTCCATACCATAAGAAGAAAAAAAAAAAGAAAAAAAAACATACATACATTGCATACCTAAAGAATGACTGTTAAACACAGTGTAACTACCGACCGTCGTCAGTTTATTTTATTCTATTTGTTTTATTTTTCCCCCTTTTTTTTTGTTTTTATTTGCATATCTGCGTTTTGGTTCGCACTTCCGGTCACATGATAGTCATGTGACCGGAGAGCACATGGTAGAGCTAGGCGCCATTTTTTTGTTGTTGTTTTTCTGTAAGAGCAAACAGTTCTTCAACGTACAAGTACAAGTACAAGGACACGTACACTGTATATTTAAAGTGACATTTTTGGAGCAAGTACAGGAAGCAGTATTCAGGGAATAAAGTGCTTTAACCAGGGTTCAGTTTGTGGAACTCACAGTTGAAGAACTGTTCGCCGAATCGATTGATGTTTTGGTTCTCAGGGAGAACACAGCTTCGACAAGTTTGAGTTTCATTGATCGGATTTGGAACTTGCTTTCAAGGAAAGCACGGCATCAAGTAAGGATTTGTCTGTTATTTGTCGCATTTGCATTTGGAATTTGTTCTCAGGGAGAACATTTATTTGACAAGAATTTGTTGTGATTTGTCGCATTTGGAACTTTGTCGCGTTCATTGGAATTGTGTCCACGTCTACGGATGATTCAAGCTTACGTCTAGTTCAATTCTTCGCGGAGAACGATACTCTAACAGAGATTGGTCTTATTCACGTGTGGATTTGTTGCTCATCCAGTTGTTTGGAAACGTTTTGGATCGTTTTGTTCTCGGGGAGAACATTGGTTTATGCGTACAATTTTCGTGTCATTTGACACTGCATCACGCTCGTTGCTTTGCGAGAATTGTTTTACATGTACAACCTTTGAGACTTGTGTGGGACTTTTATATTACTTATTTGCTATCAGAGAAAATAGTGGATGTCTAAGGTATGTGACAATAGCCATCTTGTTTGTGTTTGGAGTTTATTTGTTTTGTGGCCAATAGTACAGTGGAGCAAAATGTCTGTTCGATCAGTGCCTGTTGCTGACAAACTGGAACAACAAAATGTCCAGGAAACTCTGTCAGAGGGCAGACTTGGAACCCAATTAAGAAGAAGTTCCCAAGTTAAAGTACCATCTAATATAGATTTTGAAAGTAGAACAGCTGAGAGGGCAAACACATTGAAACATTCCTGTGCAGGTTATGTTGCAACCCTCACGAGACTGCGAGGGAACATTCAAGGCATAATTGAGAACTGTGGAACTTTGGAGGACTTACAATTAAAGCGAGATTCGTATGAAGAAGCTTGGAGGAGATTGGTGAACACCCATGAAGAGTACATTGAATGTCTTGATGTTCTTGGTCGTTGTGAAGACGTTGAAAGGGCTGACGCTAACTATAAGGAGCAGATGTCAAAGAAAGCAACATTTGACTATGAAATTGAAACATGGAAATTCCAAGTCACATCTAGTATTAAGAAACGAGAGAATGACTTAAAATCCTATCCAAGAAAGTCAAGGAAGAGTACGAAAAGCGGGTCAACTGGCTCAAGTTCAGCTTCATTAGCAGTGGCGAAGAAAAAGGAAAAACTTGCCCTAGCCCAACTGAAGACCAAGCAAGTGCTGCAGGAACAACAGTTACAACGCAAATTAAGTGAGCTTCAATTTGAGAAGGACATGTTGGAGGCTAAGATGGAGGAAGAGCGGGCTAAAGCGAGTCTTAATGTGTATGAAGAGTTTGAGAATCAATGCAGGAAGAGTCAGTATAGGGAGCGTTTAGCAGAGTTTATACCTGAGGAAACCTTACATCCACATGGGAATCAGGCACAGAATGTGGCTCAGTCGCAGCTAATCGAGCCACACGAACAACTAGTACAAGAGCTTGCACCTCTGGAGCAGGTGCCTGCATTAAGAGTCAATGAGAGAATCATGAATTCAGCTGCTAAGACATTTCAGTCAGCAAGCGTTACAGTGCCCAACCCAGTGTTCTCAGAAACCGAGCATACAGTTTATGTTGATGAAGCTGGAACAGGTAAACATACAGAGCAACTGAATAACGCAAAGGACACTGAAGCATTGAGAAATCCGCCTGTAAATCCATCAGTGCTAAATTTATCACAACAAGTACAGACACCACTAACAACCCACTTTAACACCAAAGAGTACTCACAATGGCCAACTCAGGTACCCTGGTCCCAGACCCCTGGTGCAGTTCCAGCAGAATGTTATATGCGAGAACCAGTATCGGTGACACCAGATAGCAGAGCAGAGATAGTACAAGCACTGCGTCAAGTTGTTTCTGCCCCAAGGATTGAGTACATGAGATTCGATGGAGACCCCATAAAGTATGTCTCGTTCATGCACAATTTTGAAACCTGCTTAGAGAAAGATAACCCCGACAACTCCAGGAGATTACAGCTATTAATCCAACACTGTTATGGCAAGGCAAGGGATGCCATTGAAAGTTGTGTGAATCTACCGGTAGACGAGGGATATTATGTAGCAAAGAATACCTTACGCGAAAACTTTGGACTGCCTCACATTATAGCCAAAGCACATATCAAGAGGTTGGAAGACCTACCTCCCTTGAAACAGGCGAATGGAGCAAGTTTACTTGAATTTGCCCGCCATTTAGATGTTGCCAATAGAACACTGTCAGGCATGGGGCCTGAATACGTCAGTGATTTGAATCACACGAATACGTTAAGGGAACTGAACAAGAAGCTGCCACTGTTTATGAGGGTCAAGTGGACAGAATGTGCAGGAAGGATTATTTCATTTGGATCGAAACCTAAGTTTGCAGACTTCCTTAAACACTTAAAGGACAGAGCTGCGCTTGTTAATAATGAGTTTGGAGAGGATCTTAACGCTGCTCCTTCGAAGGAAAGGGAGAATGTGAATCGGAGAGACCAACGAGGTCGAAATCCTCGAAGACTTGTGTCACTATCTGGAGGTGTCCGAGGTCGACAGGGAGATGGGGGACACAACCAAAAAATGCCTGCTTGTACCGTTTGTCGTGGTCAGCATGGTGTGTGGAGGTGTGATAAGTTTAAGAAGCAATCTCATCAAGACAGATGGAAAGTAGTGCATGAACAAAGCCTTTGTATCAAGTGTCTCCAGAGCGGTCACTTTGCAAGAAACTGCCCCAAAACTCAGTTCAAATGTCAAGTGAATGGATGTAAGAAGGAACACAACACACTGCTACACCCCCCTCCAGCAGATTCAACCCCACCAAGTGTTAATCCACGCCAGCTTAATCAGGAAGAAACAAGGGCAAACACCAACAGTGAAACCAGTGGAGTAACTAGTGAAGGTGCTGCCGTAACTGCTGCAACTGGGGCCGGCGAGCGAGTCTGTCTTAGTGTTGTTCCAGTGAAGGTCCTAGCCAAAGGTAGCAATTTGATACCTGTTGAAACATATGCGTTGTTGGACAGTGGCTCAGAAGTGACTCTTTGCCATGAAAAGTTGAAGGAGACATTGGGTGCAAGCGGCACGAGGCTGGACTTCACTTTAGCAGGGATGACGGGCTCAGCCAGAGTGGAAAGTCAACAAGTAGATCTTGTGGTGATGTCAATGGATGAATCAGTGACAGTGGAACTTTCAAGCGTCAGGACAGTCAAGCGTATGCCTATAACTGAGAGCTGTATAGCCAAGAAGGAGGACCTTGAAAATTGGCCTCATTTGCGTGATATTGAGTTACAACAGTTGGACATCACAAGTGTCATGTTAATTGTTGGTCTTAAAGACAACCCGAGCTTGTTCTTGCCGTTAGAATGCCGAGCTGGTGGCAAAGGAGAACCAGTAGCAATTAGGTACAGCCTGGGATGGACGGTGATAGGTCCTGTTGGCGGAGAAAGCTGTACTGCCGAACGCTCAGTCAACTACCTACGTATGGAAGATAGCTCTGTTGTGTGCGCAGGTGGTTTAGATTTTGAAGATTATGTTCTTTGCAAAGACCACAAGAAGAGTGTTGTGTTGTCTACAGGGCTAAACAGTGAAGATGCCTATGAAGAGAATGTTGCAGACATGAACTGTGTCCTTGAATTAGAATGTAATGCCAGTGAACCCAAGCATCGTTTACAGATAGATGAAATTGATCGTCAAGCTCGGGACGATGAGCATTGTGGAGAACAGATTTTGAAAACTGTGAAGTCGAGACGCGAGTTTGTGCATCGTTGGAAGACAAAAGGGCCCTAGAAATAATGGAGAGAACTCTTAAGATGGTAGATGGACACTTTCAGGTTGCCCTGCCTTGGCGACATGAGCCACCATTTTTACCTAACAACAGGGTAGTTGCAGAGCGAAGAGGCTTGCTTCTAAAGAAACGACTCCTGAAAGACGAAGCCTTGTTGGAGAAATACAAGACAACAATGGCTGATTACATTGAAAGTGGCCACGCTGAAAAGGCTCCCGATGAAGAGTTAGAGATAAAGGACAGACCGGTGTGGTACCTACCTCATCATCCCGTTACTCACCCCTTAAAACCCGGCAAAGTGAGAGTAGTTTATGATTGTGCTGCCAAGTACGGAGGGACATCATTGAATCAACAACTTTTACAGGGACCTGATCAAACAAATCAATTAGTGGGTGTCCTTAGTCGGTTTAGACAAGAGCCCATTGGAGTGGTAGCTGACATTGAAGCGATGTTCCATCAGGTGTTGGTGGAACCTAAGGACTGTGATGCACTTAGATTTTTGTGGTGGCCCAATGGAGACTTGTCTCGAGAATTGGAAGAATATAGAATGGTGAAGCACCTATTTGGAGCCACATCTTCCCCGAGTATTGCTAATTTCTGTTTGAAAAAAACCGCCGAGTTACATGGAGAAGGGTTCGAGGAACAGACAGTGGAAACGGTGAAGCGTAACATGTATGTGGACGACATGATGAAGTCAACAAACACTACCGAGAAGGCAGTTGTGCTGGTGAGTCAACTCCAGGAGCTACTAAGAAGAGGTGGTTTCCATTTGACAAAGTGGTATAGCAATGACAGAGATGTGCTAGCAGCGATTCCAGAATCTGAAAGGGCCAAGTCATTTGCAAACTTGGACTTGGAGAAACTGCCGACCGAATCTGCTCTAGGTCTCAAATGGAACACAGAGGAAGACAAATTTGGGTGGGAGGTCTTGGAGAAGATCCTTCAAGTTGCTAATCAGCGGCCAATGACACGCAGAGGAATAGTGTCAGCCGTTTATTCTCTCTTTGATCCCCTGGGTTTTATTGCACCATACATCATGAAAGCCAAACTGTTGTTGCAAGCCCTTAGTAGAAAGAACGTTGGTTGGGATGATCTCATTGGGGAGGCTGAGAAAATCCAGTGGAGGCGATGGCTGGATGATCTTCCCAAGTTACAGGAAGTGCAAGTAGATCGTTGTTTCAGACCCAGAGAGTTTGGCGAAGTAAGAGAAGTACAGTTACACCTTTTCTCAGACGCATCTCGTCAAGGATACGCATCGGTTGCATACCTCCGTGTGAAGGACGAGAACAGTCGAATTCATTGTGCATTCGTAATGGGAAAGGCGAGGTTAGCCCCAGTGCGCGAGATTTCAATTCCAAGGTTGGAATTGACAGCTGCAGTCATCTCCGTGAAACTCTCTAAGATTATCCGTGAAGAACTGGATATGAACTTCCAGAAAGTGTTCTACTGGACCGATTCAATGTCAGTGTTGAAGTGTATCAGCAACGAATCAAAAAGATTCCACACGTTCGAATCCAATCGTTTGACGGTGATACATAATGGATCGTCCTACTCCGAGTGGCATTATGTAAACAGAGATAATAATCCTGCAGATGATGGCTCAAAGGGACTTAAATTGGATGACATGTTAAAAAATGATCGTTGGTTGAGAGGTCCGGAGTTTCTTTGGGGAAATGAGAGCCTTTGGCCAAGGATGGTTGAAATTCCAGCATTGAAAGATGACGACCCTGAAGTCAGGAAGGAGGCTCAGATTTACACCGTTGTTGTTCAAAGTAAATACCTGGAGCCCTTAATAGCACGCTACTCGTCTTGGTGGAAGTTGAAAAGGGCTGTAGCCTGGTTGTTGCGGTACAAGGCGTACCTTTTACGGAAAGTTCAGCTGAGTAAGAGGAGCGCTTTAGTTTCGAGTGAATCCCAAGTCCAGAGCGGCGAAGTGCCATTCGTGAAATATGGCTACTTGAAGGTGGCAGAGCTTCAGGAGGCTGAGAAGGAAATCCTCAAGGAAGTACAGCAAGTGTCTTTCCCTCAAGTCATCGAGGTTCTCTCATCAGCAGGAAGTTGCGATGCAGATGGTTGTGTTAAAAGGGTCCTTCGAAAGGCAGGAACGGCGTTGCATCAGCTCAACCCACGCTTAGAAGATGGTTTGCTGAGGGTTCGTGGCCGACTAGCACTTGCCCCGGTTCCTTATGAGAAGAAACACCCTATTATCCTTCCCTACAAGCATCATGTGACGGATCTGATTATCAAGCAGTATCATGAGAGTTTGGGTCACATGGGTCAAGAATGTGTTTTGTCTTCTTTAAGAGAAACATTCTGGGTGGTCAAAGGAAGGTCAGCAGTGCGACGAGTGTTAAGGAGATGTATAGACTGTCAGCGAAGAAACACACGCCCGGGAGAGCAGTTTATGGCAAATTTACCTGAAGAGAGGCTAACCCCTGACAAGCCACCATTCACATTTGTTGGTGTCGATTATTTCGGGCCGATTGAAGTAAAGCAGGGCAGATCCCATGTGAAAAGGTATGGATGCCTATTTACGTGTTTGACAATGCGAGCGGTCCATATAGAAGTGGCCCATTCCTTGGACACTGACTCAATGATAAATGCACTCAGAAGATTCATCAGTATTCGTGGTTGTCCTGAGCAGATAAGAAGTGATCGAGGTACAAACTTTACTAGCGCAGAAAGGGAGTTAAAGGAAGCCATAGAGAGATGGAATCAGCAGAAGATCAACAGTTTTTGTGGACAGAAGATGATAGAATGGATTTTCAATCCACCAGCGGCGAGCCACATGGGCGGCATCTGGGAGAGGATGATACGTTCTGTGCGCCAGATCTTGCGAGCGATGTTGAAGGAGCAGGTAGTCTCCGATGAGGTCCTCTCAACCGTTTTGGCAGAGGTGACGAATATTCTCAATTCCAGACCCCTCTCTAGAAATAGCGACAGTCCTTTAGACGAACAACCATTAACCCCTAATCATTTGTTGCATCTGCGCCCGTGCCCAAGTGTACCTCCAGGGGTCTTCGACAAGGACGACCTCACCTGCAGACGTGCTTGGAGGCAAGCGCAGTATCTTGCCAATTTGTTCTGGCGTAGGTGGACGAGGGAGTACCTACCCACTCTGTTAGACAGGAAGAAGTGGACTGAGCCAAAAAGGAATTTACAAATTGGTGACTTGGTGCTTGTAGCAGACGAAACCTTTTCCAGAGGGAAGTGGCCGCTTGGAAGAGTTGTGGAAGTTATTGCGAGCCGCGATGGGTGGGTGCGCGCAGCGAAGGTGAAGACAAGTGCAACAGTAGCAACATGTGCCAAACGACGGTACAGAAGAGAACCTGTGACCGCAGCCAGTACCACCATACTTACACGCCCAGTTACAAAGTTATGTTTTCTGGAGATGGATGGAGTGGCCGATAGAGTAGGACCAGTTTAAGTGACTTTGCAGCAGTGCAAGGAGATGATTTAATGAACGTTGATATGAACATTGGCTTTGATAGTCATGAACAGTGATTCTAATCATTCCTTTATAACGTTGTGTTTAGTTGTAGTCGGTAGCTTATGTTTGTAAATGAGATTGCTGTCGGTGCATTCTCATTTAGGGGCCGGTGTAACTACCGACCGTCGTCAGTTTATTTTATTCTATTTGTTTTATTTTCCCCCCTTTTTTTTTGTTTTTATTTGCATATCTGCGTTTTGGTTCGCACTTCCGGTCACATGATAGTCATGTGACCGGAGAGCACATGGTAGAGCTAGGCGCCATTTTTTTGTTGTTGTTTTTCTGTAAGAGCAAACAGTTCTTCAACGTACAAGTACAAGTACAAGGACACGTACACTGTATATTTAAAGTGACATTTTTGGAGCAAGTACAGGAAGCAGTATTCAGGGAATAAAGTGCTTTAACCAGGGTTCAGTTTGTGGAACTCACACACAGAAAGGCTCATGAAAAGATCGGCGTTTGAAACGGGCCTTAGGGTTTAAAGGGTTAACAGAGAAGAAAATAATAGGAGAGCACTCGTTGGGACGGCCAAAATGATGGATGTAGAGATGGGTTCTTTTACACCACTGGTGCTTAGTACAAACGGGGGCATGGGACTCGACTGTCACAACTTTTTAAGAACTCTCGCAAATAAGCTTTCGACCAAGAACAATGAACCCTACGCCAGCGTTATTTCCTGGCTTCGAATAAGCTTTCATTTAAGAACTGTACACAGATGGTCAGAGGTTCTAGATATCCATTCAAATCACGTGAGGTCTCAGAAGACTTCACTTTCGCTGTAGCTGGTCTACATCTGCGCTCATAATTTTAGGCCTAGATTTTTGATAGTTTTTTTTTCTTAGTAATGCTTAATTTTCCTTTTGCCACTTTCAAAATTATTCATAATTGTAAATAGTTTTCTATCGTGGACATATATTTAGTTTTTAATTTGTAAACAATACGATATAGTTTAAAATTGTAAATATTACTTTATTATATTGTTCTGATACTTAATAGAGGTTTAACTTACAATTTTATTCTATCATTATTTTTCGGACTTCTGCTTGATAGAGGGTAGCCATTTAATAGGTAGCTGTCCACGGCTGTCAAAAAGTTTTTAAGTAGCAGGCTGATAATGAATAGTAGGCGGCTTTGGGAACTCGCACCAAAGGCACAAGTGCTTGAGGGCTGAGGCATCTTCTGTAGGGACATTTTGACATTTAGAGTCTCGGAAATGGCGTCTCCAGCGGTGAGGGTAAAAGGCAGAATGAGTTTGCGGAATGGCATGTGGCATGGCTTGCGGAATGTAAAATATGGAAAATGGCGCAAAGAAATAAATTAAACTGAAAAGCATTCGCGCGTCTTCGCTGCGCCTTTTTTTGGCGCCAATAATTTGAGTGAGCAGCTGCTTTGTTGGTCAATTTATTACTGTTGGTGCAAATCAACAAGGCAGAACAGAAAGTAGCTATATATAAGCTTTACTGCATTCGTGTCTTTAATTCTTAATTAAGACTTAATTTATTTTTTGTGTTTTCGACAATACTTTCTCTCTTTCTGCCCACCGTTATAATATAGTCAAATGTCAAAACGTTAGAGGGAAAAGAACGCTTGTCGGGCTAGCTACAATTCTAAGGATTATTGATTAATACGGTGGAAGAATCAGACCATATTTGAGACAAAATGAACGCTCCGAGTCAAACATTAATCTGGGATCCAGAAATCAAGTGACGCGAACTGCTCTCTGTCTTCTTTCGGCCTTTCCGCGTGTCTTTACACCTTCGTTGTTTAAGTGAGTGTATGCGTTTGATCGCGAAAAAATGGTAAAACGGTAGGGAGGGGAAAAAAAGACACACTCAATTGGCAGGATTCGAACTCGCCCTTCTCCGCTAGCTGTTAGCTTCGCGTGCCGGAAACGTAACCACGCAGCCAAGGAAACAAAATACAAGATCCGTTTCATCTCTGAATATTATGTCACGATAACGTAACCCACCGTCTGAAAAAGTAACACTTCTCACGCGACTTCAAATACAAATATAGGTAAAAAGAAACTGATAAGGCCATCCCCATAAAATGTTTCGTTTCCCATCGCCCGACCGACCCATTTTTTCGGAAAAGTAAAAAAACAAATATTCCAGAATCACTTGTAAAGAAGCTAGTACTTTAAATTACAAGCACACGATCTTGTCTTATTAACACCAATTGTCTTAAATTATCATTGATACTTCGTTTTTGTAGCCTTTTTAGACATTTGATAGTCCTGTTAATATACATCTTTTACCATCTGATTATATCTTGCAGACTAAACGTGAGATTTAATATACAATCATGTGTTCATTCATTTTTTTGTTTGCCCGACCGACCGACCCACCTTCACGAGAGGGAGGGCGACGGGAAACGAAACATTTTATGGGGATGGCCTACGTTTAATCGAGCAAACAACTTTTGCAGAAAAAGAGTAAAGTAGAAGGGACCTGGAAAGGAGCGTGACCTTCCAAAACATCTTTTCTTCAATGGCCGACTTTCGTGATGTGGTATCGGTGCTGCTGCATGCAGCTCGACTAATAAAGGCAAGAAAAATCTTTGTGGCTGATTGACAATGAGCCTTCGTGTCATGGTATGCTCGCAACATAAACACAGTGGTTGCGTTGGCAAATTGATTGGCGCCAAAAAAGGACGCACTTTTCAGTTTAATTTATTTCTTTGGGTCATTTGCGTATATTACATTCCGCATAATTATGTCATTCCGCAAACCATGTCACATGACATTCCGCAAACTCATTCCTCTTGTCACCCTCACCGCGTCTCCAGGGCATTTCAAGAGGTATTTCCACCGCAGATGCCATGTTGTTTCATCAGAATACACGCAAGACTGGGAACTGCCGTTGAAATGTCCCAGCCGTTCCACGATATCGCACGGTTCGAACGTTTCACCCCTTGTTTAAATATGTATTCAATAACATTCAAAACTGGGAAACGGATGTTTAGCAATTTTATTCGATGGTGCTTAATTTTTAATAGCAGTTATGGTGGAAGAAGATGAAAGTAGCTGGCTAAGGATGGCTAACTAGCTACCGGCCCTTACTGACAGCCCTGGGCTGCTTAATGGAGCCTCAACTGTAATAACTATAGAAAAGTGAACTATTTTTTACATGTAAGCGGCCACAACACGTTACCTGTATGCCATGAAAAGGATAGCCGGAGCAATTATATAGAACTGCATGTCATTAGCGAGATACCAAGTCCATTCCATACACTGAAAAGAGTAGAGAGATCAAAATCATTCAAAATCATTTGAAATGCCATAGAAAAAAAGGGCACTAGGACTAAATAAAAATTTGATTATTTTTTTTATCCTTTGGAAACTTCAACGGTCTTTAACAGAATTGAATTCTTCATGCTTACAACCAAATTGCTTGGTCAAGATAATATGCAAAATGTTATTAATATTAACCATAGGGGTTTTGACGATTAACAACACTACCTTATCCGCAAAGCAAGGAATGCACAAAAACTAGTGTGGAGAAAAGTACATTGATATTAGCTGAATTGGATAAGCGCCAGACTCAGTTTCAGCGGGAGGCTGGATTCAAAATCCAGCTTCACCATGAACCAGTGTCTTTAAAAAACTGGTTGATAAAGACATTTTCTCAGTTCAGATAATCATGTCATTGGGCATTAAGCGATTGGCATTCTCTCATTCATCACTTTTTCATTAGCTAATTTGACGGAAATGTTATAGAACCCACACTAGTGGGACAGGGGGTGGGGGGTGAGGGACTGGGAGAATAGGGACAGGAGGGGCTTGGGGCACAGGAGAGGAAAGGGCAGAAGATGGGAGTTCTAAAATGATGGGAAACAGGAGCGGAAAAGGGTGGAGGCCAAGAGAAAAGGTGTGCTAGCTGGAAATGCAAGGTAGAGGAGACGAGAGGCATAAACAACCCCCCTCCCCAGTAATAGTTATAGCGAATACACTTTGTCAGTCCCTTGGCCCTTCATTATATTGAGGTTTCCACGGCAATATAAAAGTATGTAAAGAGGACATGCACTGTTATCCTCTCATCTATCACATTAACATGACAATGAATTTGATATTTTGCATTTTATGCTGCTGGTAATAAAATAAATACCCAAGTTTTCTGTTGTGAAATGATGATCCAGCGAAACATATTCGTCAAAATTTAAAACAAACAATAGAACAATAATGTCAAAAACTCACCGAAGCACCCTTTTGTGTAGGATAAAAGTTGTTGATGTAGAGCAGATTTGTCCACCAGTATTTGTTACAAGCTTTATTTGACTGATGAATGTTTTGCCAATAAGGGCCTTCACCAAGAAATACTGTCAGTTTGTCCCAAAACAACAAAACAAACATGTATGTTGGAGTCAATCTGCGGAGTATTAGTGATACAAGTAATATTAGAAACTTTAACCAAGAGCTGCTACCCACTTGCACCTACAGTTTACTCCCGATAACTAGAACCCTCGCTAACTCGAACCAAAATCGATTTTCCCTGGATTTCCGTCATACATTTACTGTAATTTTACCCTCGGTAACTCGAACCCTCGATAACTTGAACCTCCCGGTAACTTGAAGTAGGTTTTGCTTCCCCTCAGATCATTTCTACATAATTTTACCCTCGATAACTCGAACCATGTTTTGAGCCCTTAAAAGTCGGGAAAAAACAGTCCACTGGCGTCCCAAACATTGAATTTTGAATTTCCCATTGACGTGTTGTAGGCATATAGTTTACAATTGGAGGTTGATGTTGTTTGTCACAAATCTAACGTGAAACAGCTTTACTTCTCAAAACATTAAACGCATGCTCTATTTAACCAAGGTTTTGTTATGTTACGTTCTGATTTATGATCTAGAAGTATCTTTTTATTTTCACTTGACATTTCTACAATTAAATGTGATTAAAATGTTCACTGTGCAGTAAAAACTGTTTTTTTTGCTTACTCCCGGCTATTTTTTTCGAGCTCCCGATAACTCGAACCTTTTTCGATTTCCCTTGAACGTTCGAGTTATCGGGAGTCGACTGTATTTATAACTGTTATCATCATCACTGACATCATCATCATTATTATCATTATTAGTATCCATTCGAAATATTTCTCTGTTTCTGATTGGCTTAAATCACATGGCTAATTCTTATAACCAGCTTGTTCAGACTAAATTTGGAAGACTTTAATTTGCAATACCTGGAAAATGATGTCAAAAGTACAAGAGGGCTGCAACCGAGAAACCCTGGAGAGGGGATTGTGTTGACTAGGTAGGGCAGGCTACACTCACCTGGCCAATCATATTCCCCATAGTTAAGACATGTCTGACTGTTCAAAACATTAACTGAATAATAGCGGGGTCTGGGGGCGGGCTCCCCCAAGAAATTTTTTGGATTTTTACTACTTAAAGTCCCCTTTCCTGGGTTTCCAAGTCATTCAGACAGGATATTGGCCAGTTTTCAACTTGGAAAGTGTTTTGTATTATTAAAAATATATTTATTATAAAAAATGTGACCAATTTCCGTCAAACGGTGGAAACCGGTGTGGATCCGCGCCAGATAGTATTGTTATAACTAGTATTACGAACTTCACGTTTTACTGGCTAAATGTAATTAATTTAACCTCGAAACAACGCTGGTTAGCAGTTTTCCCCACTACAATTGTATGGTGTCTTGTTTTTATGCAGTTATTTGCTTGCAAAGTGTCTTTTCCTATAGCATTGTTAATTGCATGCCATTTTAGTGCTGCGTTTCTCCCAACCTCCTTCTTTTATTGAAGTTTGTTGATCTTCAAATGTTACAACTTAAATTAAATTAAATTAAAATAAAACATATATATATACACACAAACATCTTCTGCTGGCAAATAGCTTAGCTAATTGAGGCGGGCAGAGGAAAACAAAGTAATTTGTAACTAGGAAGAAATTAAGTAGAAGAAAGGAAAAGGAAAATAGATCTATATAAATGACACAAGAGAGTGGACTTGAGTTATTGCAATACAATGAGGATTTATAAAATGAAATATATCAATTAAGGGGTCACCTAGGTAAGTATTGGTGGTTAAGTATTCTACTGAGTGGTTGAGCGTGACGATGCCTTGTGGGGGTTGCTCCCAGGGTTCCCTTTCTCGTGCTAGAGCATTACCCAGCTAATTACTAGCCTTGTAAACACCAGCACCCAAACTCATCCATTAATGATGAGTTTAAATTTGCATTACTGGGGCAATTTCACAAGAATTCTCCGATTTTTCGTGCAAAGCAGACTAACATTACTTTTAAAAGTACACACGCTGATGGCTGGTAAATTTTACCTTAATTAAACTCATAACAAATAGATGAGCTTGGGAACTTGTGCCTTAAAGGCTAGCGGGGAGACAAATGCCATAGCCAAAGGAAGGCATCCATGGCAACCCTGGAACAAGCTAACCACCCAAACGAACGTCACACTGAAAAAATCACTGGAAATAACTTACCTAAAAGGATACTTACCCTGGCAACCAAATGCAAAAGAGGGAGGGAGAAGAGGGTACAAGAATCCGCACTGATTCAGAATAGCTAAGCTTTTGATCCACAAAGATCAGCTGATAACACTGCACGTGAAAAGCAATGAATCTTGAAACAGTGCAAAACCACTGGAGGCCACCCCAAAGGTCACGTACTGCAGATGAGGAAGACTGCTGGCTGCATTTGCTCAAATTTAACTTTGCCTAAACGATGTTTACCCAGATCAAAAAGGAGAGCATGTCTGCTGTTCACTCACCTCCAAAATCGATGAAAATAGTAATTAAAGAGTGGAAGCTGCCCATTATTTTTCTCCATGTGCCGAAGATATAAATATGCAACTAAGAGGCCGCTGTTGAGTACAATAGAAGTACAGCAGAATCAAGGTACATGTAAGTCTTCAGTTGACTGCCTCCTCAGAAAAGACACTTTGGGTGCCTTCGATTGACTGTATTCCAGAATAAGAAACACGTGTTTTGGTTTTCATTACACGCTAAAATCCAGATACATGGTGGACATTACAGGGTGTTTATTAGCCATAAGAGATCGGAGAATTCTCGGTTTACTACCCAGAAATCTCACGCTAATCTTCGGTAGCCAATGACAATTTTTTTTTCAGACGTAGAGCCTTTTTCAAAGTATTCTCCTGTCACATTACACCTTACTCCTGCTACAATCGAACCTCCACGTGCGACCACTTCCCATAAGCGACCACCTTCCCAAAACACCAAAAATGTTCTCAGTCAAAGCGTTATACTGGAACCTCTCTTAGTTCGAGTTCAAATCCTCTGCCAGGCTTGTGAAAAGCCAACTGGTTAATTGCCTTTTACCAGTCTGAATTCTTAATTACCATCAATGTTATTTTCCATCTAAATCATTTGTATTATTATCGCTGAAAAGCCTCTTAAGGAGAGGGGATAATTAAGTACTTATCATTATTTATTATAATTATTTACAATGTAGATATGTAATAATTATACCATACCTCAAGAAAAAGAAACTGTCGACTGAAAAGATTGCATTTCCGATAGCTTGAAATGTCAAGCGGTTAATGATGCCAAAAAATGTGAGAGGATTACCTACAAAACATACAAAAGCACATCACTCAAGATTTAGGACAAACTAAAGCAAGTATTATTTCTAGTTTCTGTTCCTTCTGTTTCCAAACAGCCATGCTTATAGTTAATGGGAAAGCGTTTGGTAGTAAAAAGATTAAATATATTTCTTTACCTTTTGAGTCTGTGAATGAAAAAGTAAGACCATTCAAGTGAAACCTCTATCGGTGTTCTTTGTGAAACTAAATTGAAATATAAATTAACTTTTTTGATTTCAAACCCCAGGGGCCCATTTCTTGATAGTCAGGGAGCATATGTCGCCGAAAAGAGTTCCACAGGATTTTTGTGCTGATTTCAAGCGACTACTGTAGAAGTGTTGAGGGGGACCTGAGGAACATGTTTTATTGTCGGCACTTCTGTAATTCCTGCAGGAGGGTATTTAAGGGGCACTGAAAAAATGCACATTAAGCTTTATATGAAAACGAGGCTAAAGTTTGGAAATGCTTAAAACAACTGCCGTTCAATCACGCTTTTTGCTGTAGATGTAAAAGTAATATTTCATAAGGTATCTAAGAATGTTAAATTACCTCTAATGCATTGGTAAAAGTTGATAAAATCCGAATTTTTAGTTATAATTCCTTGGAATATCAGTTATGTGGGAAAACAACTAATTTGTCCTGTAACAAATGTGAACATTCCTCGTTTTTTTCCCAACACTTTAAAAGTGATGTATAAACTAGATTGCTTTTATGATAATTAAGAAATTCCAATTTTAATCTATGATAGTTATATAGGCTATTTTTTTTTCCTTCATTGCACGTGCTAATACATATTACAGTTTCTAGTTTTGTGTTGTGTGTTGGCGCATGAACATCTGGAGTAGATATTGCCGTTTTACGTCTTTTATCCAGTCTAAATGTCGAGTTCTACAGAGACTGGAGAGGCCAAAGACCTCAATTTAAGTTTGTGTATTATTTGTGGCCAAATTAAGCCAAATGAACGACTTGTAAAGAACCCAACTTCTCATGACAGAGTATCGACGTGCCTACAAAAAAGGGCGTCTTACGGCCACTTAGAGTATTTCGAAAGTTGGTCAAAATTAAAAACGTTCACAGCTCAAAAGCTTAACGATAAAGGAGCATCTTGGCACAGACAGTGTTCAAGTGGTATAAGAACGCCATCCGTAAAGTCATATATTGCAATTGCTCACAGATTTTCGAGCAAAAGAGGGACTGCTCAGGCGAGCAGAAGAACGGCACAAGGGGGAGTTGGCTGCACCTAATGAAACAAGACGGAAGATTTCAAAAACGGCACCAGAAGAAATACCGCTGCGGCTAACAAGATCTAAAAGATCGCACCATTTAGCAGAGATAAGTGATTCTTTTGTGACGGCAGTGAGTCGCGCGGGAAAGCCTACTTACTGTTTCCAGTCCTTCTGTTACCCAGTCCTTACGTACCGCAATTCTGGAAACGACTGGCTCCGGGTAAACTGGGTACATCTTTAGACACCAGTGATGAACAAGATTCTGGAATTAGGTATCATAAGGTATGTTTGGTGAATAATGTCACAAATGTACAGTGCAAGCCTGACCCAGGAACTACTTCGAACAATGATTCATTGACAAGCGAGAAAACTGCTCAAACAGAGTTTTTAGCAATGGCAGAGATCAACTAAAGAGACGGCACGATATTGACTATGTTCGATTTACAAGCGGCATACCAGTTCCTGACGGTATTCTTGAAGCAAACAAAGTCCATGAAACTGTACGGTATGCAATCGAAAAACACTTCAACAGTTACTTCAAATTTTGATACCTGAAGTGGAATTTCACCGACCACCAAAAGTTACCGAATCAGACCGACTAAGCATTAAGAAGACACACGATGCCGCCATTCATGAAGTAGAAACGAAAGGTATACTGGCGATCCAAAACAAATGAAACTATTGTTTAAAGCTGCACTCTTGTTACGAAAGGCAATCAATAGCTGCACGAAATGGGTGTTTTCAGTGATTTGCCAGTACGAGTTTTCTGTCAGTTTCGAGGTCTTTGTTTGCACCCGATGGTAAAATGCTTCACTGTTCTGCAAAGAGCGCGTTGATGAAACTTCTTGAAAAGTTTAGCGCTTGGTGACGAATCAGAGCAAAGAACGACCACTGCCCCTCAGATTAGTGCAAATGAAAGGGTAAATATAGAACCCTCATCTCAACTGCGAGTCGCCGTCAGTTGACGCCAAATATATGGCTGAACTTCAATCTATTGGCAAACCGAATGATATCAAAGACTGTTCGCAATTAGCTGAGCACTTTACTGCCAGAATCAACCATAAGTACAAGTCCAATGACGAGATATATAGATATGGCTTGCCAATGTCTCTGTAAACAGCTACCTGAGTAAACAGGCATCCCATATATTACTGCATTAGTAATTCCACGCACATCGCCAAGGTACCAATGAGAAGACTCCTTTCTCATAGTAAGACCAAGAACGAGCTATATAGCTATCTGGCAGAAAAAGTTCCTAGATCATGCTATGAAGACAAATCTACGAGCTGTTGTGGCCTGGGGATGCCAGTGTCGTGCAACACATCAAAATGTGAACCATCTTCAAAGTGATCATGAAGAAGCAGACACCAAGACGTTGCTGCATGCTCTGGACGCAACTGCCAACGCTGCAACAGAGATTTATATCCATTCTCCAGACACAAATGTTTTAGTTCTGCCTCTGAGGCGCCATCTGGAGCTGTGTGTGAAGACATGATTTGTCGCTGGTATGCCGGGTGATAACCATCGTGTGTTTGGCCTACAATTTTTGTACGTCCAATAGCTAGCGCCCTCGGCAGTGTTAAATTTGCAGAAGTGCCAGAGTTCCACGCATTCAGCGGGGCTGATATCACTAGGAGTTTTTCTGGTAAAGGGAAACTTTCATGCTGGAAAACGTTCATGGACGCAGAAGAAGATACAATAACCTTGGAACCACATTGCATCCCCCAGACGAGATATTGGCCTTTGTAGAGATGTTTATATGCCAGTTTTATCAGCCTGGAACCGGTATCTCACAAGTCAAGGAACTAAGTAGTATGCTGATGTATGCTTACTACTTACTACTTAGTATGCTTATGTCCGAGCCCACTGCAAAAAAAAGCTATGTAAAGAGGACATGTATGTTTGTCCTCTCAATCGCGACATTTACATTGACATTTACTTTTACATTAAGATGGCATATGTTCATTACAAATCAGACGGAATCGGATAGGCTTCTACCAACACAGGGGGCACTTTATTAAGCAATTCTTCGCACCCACTATCAAATAATAGTGTGGAACAATGATAAAGTGTGCTGTCCTAGTTTGCCACAGCCAGTTGGATTCGGGTGGGAGAAAAGGGAGGATAGATGGATCCCCGTTATGACAAAAGAAGCACCTGCTCCTGAAGCAATCGTCCAATTGGTCAAGTGCAACGACTGTTAAAAGAATCGATGCTCAAACAATCGATGTCACCTCTGTTCTTGCTGTGACAGTGATGATCCCTGTGAAAATGCATGTGAAGATACCGATACACTAAAAACTGAGTACGAATGCGAGGACTCTGACAGTGAAGAGTAGAAAGATTAAAAAGTCGAAATTTAGTGAAAAATATGAGTCTCAATTTGTTTATGTGAAAAGGTATTGATGTTAGTACTCTTTAAAAGTCAGATTGTCTTAAGTCTCTTCTTCAGCCTCGTTCTCATGCAGGTCAGTGCAGAGCGCTTCATTTAATGCCTTCTAAAAATCCTCTGCACGCAATACAAAAGTTCCGAGAACATTAAGTATGTTCCTTAGAACTTCTGAACTGGTCGCTTGAAATCATGACAAAATTCCCCCGGGAAAAACATTGCTTCTAGATTAATTCCATACCCTAACTAAAAACAAATGTCATTTTGTAAAATCCTAGGAAATGAATACCATGCAAGAACGTAGAAAGAGAGGTTTCATTTAAATGGTTACACTATAGGATTACATCAGCTTGACACTTGGACTCTTTTCCCCCTGAAGACACGTGGTATGATGGCTAGATTTTTTGTCATTCGGCATTGCAGTACATGTGAAAATTAACTCTGCAAGACATCAACACGACACCAAAAGAACTCAAAACAGAGCGGGATTGTAGCCATAGACAGCTGTTTCACTCTCTTTGGGGCTCGTCAGTATGGTGTAACAACCAGAGATCAGGCTCTGATGAAAAAATATCCGTGCACTCTGATTTTATGCCTGACCCAGAACTCCTAACACCCGCAGAATCACGTCATACCACGTGTCTTCTGGGGGAAAAGAGTCCAAGTGTCAAGTTGATGTCTCGCAGAGAAAATAAAGTGCCCGCCAAAACCAACGTAAAGAACATGGACAAAACCATGCAAAAATTACAGCATATCGAATCTATAGATGCACTGACACTCCTCAGACCTGGGGTTGCACAAAAGGCCCTTTTTGCATCTAGAATATTGAAACAGTTGCTGCCTACTAGAATTAAATTAACTGCAAAAACCGTGGACGAAGATCCTGCTAGTTGTAAACATTGGATCTCAAAAAAAAGAGCTAAAAAGAGAGATCTAATCAGCCAAAATATAAATAACCAAAAACGAGAAGTCCAAAGACTAGTGCAGAGCTGATTCATAACAACGTGTATTGTTTTTTATAACAATATTTCGGCTGGCCATAGCAGTCTTCTTCAGGTTTACAGATGTTACTGAACTTATGTAGCAATCACAGTATTATATAGATGGAGAATGTCGCAATAAAAATTGTTTAAAAGGTAGAGGCGGAAATGACGTACAACACAAAAACTGGAAAGGAAAAATACTAAGGATATGGATTACAATAATTCGTCACGGCGGTTTAGGCCATGAGGTTCAAGAGTTATGGCCTTATCTATCAAATGCGACTCCCTGGCCTTACGAACTGAGTCACGTGAAGAATGAATTTTCTCTAGTGGGATTAACTGCATGTCAGTATGAGAATGGTTAGAGTGAGAGAGAAAGTGTTCAGAAACAGTAGTGGGTTTACTAGAATTATTTCGTCCTCTAAAGTAAATTTTTGGGAAAACCTTGGTGATAAAAATATGAAATAACTTACTTGGACGAAGAAACTGCATAAAATAGTAACAGTGTCCAAGTATAACCCACCACATACTCAATACTCTCATGCCATTGATTGATGTTATCGCGCCTGGAGGAACTTTAGTACTCAAAATGCGGTTTGTGTTTTGGATAAGAGAAAAACACAAAAGGAATTGTGCCGCCACATCTGTGTGTATAAAAAAGTACTTGTAATTAAACAAATAAATTGCCTTTCACAATCAACAAAAGTATTCAGTGCAGATATGAAAGTGAACATGATCTTTATCCGGTAGTTCAAAATATGATTCATTTCATCAATTATTCATGTCAATTCCAACATCGGGTATATTACGAACTCACAATGGCTTGCTCTCCAGCTACAGCTTGAATGGAACGGTCAGGGTTTGATTCCCAAGCCTGAATTTTTTTCAAGTTATTTTTTTTTTCAAACGCTTTGGTTGTTCATTCTACTGCAATGATAATGTTCACTTTCTTAGATAACCTAATAAGGAAAACTGACATCTGCTGCAGGCAAACCTGAAATCTGGTTCAAAAGATACACGGGAAATTGATTCCTCAGCATGTGACCTCACTTCAACAGAGGTACAACACCTGTAGGTGAAAAAGGCAAGACAGAAAGCTGCCCTAATCACTGCACGGGCCTTTCTCCCAGTCACTCCCTTTAGAATTAGCCATATGGCAAACAACCCCACCCCCCAATCCCCGCCAAGTAACAGGATGGTGAAGGATGCAGCTCTTGCCTTGATACCATTCCCTTAAAGACCTATTTCAGAAATAATTTGCCAAGGAACGGGTTGCTGTATGCCAAGATGAAAATTGGAGGTAATAGAAAACGGCCAAAGATGGCCTCATTGTGCTATGTTTAACTGTCCCGGCTGAACAGGTTGCAAAATAAATAAGAGTACCAAGTGAAGCAAGCAAGAATCAGTCTTAAAAAAGTTATCTGACAACACTCAAAACTTACTTGGTTCCTTCGGCTGTTCAGGAGAGCTGGTTAATGGAGAACACTCAGGAACCCCTGTCCCCTCTTGGTAGGAATGAATCATTTGTGAGTTGTCACTGATACCATCATGTTCTGCGAAGGCAGGAACATGAAGAGGAGCGTGATCATTATCAATAGCTATGGAAACATTTTCGATAGGCATATATCCTTCAGTGTTGTTCACTGTTGATGGGCGTGGTTTGAAAAAGCTAGAGAGTATATCAAGGACTGTTCCAACAAGGCAGAGGGACAAGATTATCCCACACAAGGTTCTAAATAGAAGAAGAAATAGACAACAAAAATATTCAACAGAACTTTCTATTTTCAAACATATATTTAACCTACATTTTGACAACAAAACTTGCAGGACCATCATTAAAAGATGCAATATAATGATTTATGCAGGGTGCAAAGAAAATCACTTTTACAGCTTGTCATTCGGGCAAGCTGAAGCTAGCGTTTACTAACCCAGACGTCATTTCAACTAGCCCCAAAAACGTTTTGACTAGCAGAATTGATTAACAGTTCTTCTGTTATTCGAATTCCTCAAAAAACATCACTTGCCCGTCGGGCAATTTAAAAACAGAATTCACTAGCCCGATAGCAAAATCCACTAGCCCCAGGCTATCGGACACTACTTTCTTTGCACACTGTTATGGGTGTTACCAAATTTAAGACCCTCGAAAACTAAGACGGGCTTAGGTCTTAGTTTTCGAGATTATGAAAACTAACACCCCCTAAAATCGAATTCGTCGAAGTATGAAGTCAAATTATAACCTAAGGAGGTCTAATCTGTCAAATTATCTTCTGTGCAATCCTTTCCATGGAGTTCTAGGTCAAATTTAGCGGTAAATTTAGGAGTCTTAATTTTGGTAGTTTCGAAAACAAAGATCCCGCTTAGTTTTCGTCATTACGAAAAGTAAGACCCCCACAAAACCACTCCGTAAAATATATAAAACATCGGATTGCGACCGATCCGCTTCTTCTAATTTGTAGACATTATTTATTTAGGCATACATAAGGATGAAAGCCACAGAATACGTATATATAAATTGTACACTGAAAATATGCCTTACCCCGATTTATCGATAATTTTTAAAATCGAAAAATCAGCATTCTGCTATAGATGATTTTTGTCTTCGTTGCCGGCTGACCTGATTCACGTTACTTGAATATTATCAAAATCGCTTCCGATCTGATCATCAATTGGTTTATCGGTTAAACATCACAAAAATAAGGATTTTTTCCCTTTTCTGGCCTGGCCAAAGCCAGAAAAACGCATTCTTAAAAAGGGTGAGAAAAAAGTATATGCTACATTGCGCTTTCCAAGAGTTATTTTATCGTTGCTGGCGTATGCATACATAAAACTAAACTAAACCATGAAAAAAACGTGCATGCCAGCTCAAAAAAGTGAAGATTACATGACAGTTGTGTGTCGAGAGGTCAGCAAATCTATCTACAGCAGAATGCTAATTTTAAGATTTTAAGGATAAACTACCAAAATTATCGATAAATCAGGGTAAGGCATATTTTCAGTGTACAATTTTTATTATACACAGGTAGTGTATGACTTTCATCCTTGGGCAAGCCTGAATTCTGATATGTCTGCAAGGTAGAAGAAGGATAGTAGTTTTCAGTAGTTTTACACCCAGTTTTAAAGAATGTAGTCTTGGAACGGTCGTAAACCGACTTATTTTACGGATTGATTTTGTGGGGGGTCTTATAGTTTTCGTAATAACGAAAACTAAGAGAGGTCTTTGTTTTCGGAACTACGAAACCTTAAGACCCCTAAATTTACCGCTAAATGTGACCTAAATCTCCGTAGAAAGGATCGGTCAGAAGATAATTTGACAGATTAGACCTACCTCGGTTATAACTTGACTTCATACTTCGACGAATTCAATTTTAGAGTTTTCGTAATCTCAAAAACTAAGACGGTCTTGGTTTTCGTAACACCCAATGATTTATGGCCAAGTTCAGTACGGTGACTATTTCAAACTTTCAATACAACAAATGTATGTTTCACATAAGGGGCATAAGTGGATTAAGCCCTGTTTGCCATAGAGTTTCAGTAACTCAGTGGTTGGGGCATCTGATCTAGAACTCACAGGGTCGTGAGTTTGATTCTCCGATGAACCTCAATTTTTTTGGTGCTTTGAGGTGATTAAATTCTCTTTCTCCTTGAATTGTGAGACGATAAAAAGACAACACACAAGTATTTAATATTCTTATTTGCCTACATCAAGTTTTTTTTCCTGCAATAATTGATTGAACGTTTTTTAAAATTGATTATCGTGTTGCTTAAAGATTTTGATTGATGGTTGATTATAATCGATCATCGGTACCCCAATACATGTGACAAACTGTAAAAACAAAAACATATAGATACTTCCCGTTACAATTTGCATTACTTTGAACACATAGTGGCACAATATTTCAAATTTGCGACTTAATACTTGGGCTACCGTAAAATTCCCAAAATAAGCCCCTCCATGTATAAGCCCGTCCAAATACATGTATATTAGCCCCCCAAAGTAGTAACAAAAAAACTCTCTGATAAATCGCCCCTCCAAATACAAGCCCCCAGGGGCTTGTACTTGGAAATTGCCCTCAAATTCCAAATAAAACAAAGCAAAAAACTGCACACTGCATTTGCCAAAGGACTATAGCTATTACGTGTGCCAAATGATTGCTGTCAAAAAGTGTCACAGTTTATTGCTGTTTCCGTAGTTCACTCTTCAATCTTGGCTTGGATTTAAAGACGCATATTTCCCTCCCATTACATTGAGCCTAGGCGATTTTAAAACACAAATTTCCCGCCGTATATAGGCACCTCTGAATACAAGCCCCTCAAAAAGGCCTTTGAAAAATATAAGCCCTGGGGCTTATTTTCGGAATTTTACGGTAGGCTAGTTGCATATGAATAATCATTCTTATCTATAATACTATCATTTTGTAACGACTAGTTCTAAAAATTCTGCACAGTTGTTATTTCAAAGATTCATATAGCTATGTACTTACAGAGTAACAATCACTCCAGTTGTGTATTCTGGTTCTTTCTTGCATACAAAGTAAATAGGTTTAGCCTCTTTGCTTCCTTTAGCCACTCGAAGACTGAATTCAGTCGTTATGTTAACTACCGGTAATTTGAGAACTGAAAGGGAAAAGAGAGAACATATAGTTATCGTACTCTGATCACGCAGTTAACCATGTTATATTGTTACATTAGCTCTTGTGAGTGGTATTACTTAACCTGGACATTGATTTTTAGTTCTAGTAAAACATAAGTAAAATCCAAAAACTATTTTAACAACTAACATCAAATAAATTTGTTATTATAAATTTATAAAATTTTATAACAACAAATTTATAAGAAAAGTTAAGAAAACAAATTTGAGAAGTGGTCGATCATAGATTTCTTCCCACAGACAAGCTGTACTGCTAATTTTCAGTCAAATGCTGCACCGAAAAGGTTCTGCTTAATGATCTGTGCTGGTGTTTATCAATAAGGTAATTTGCCAATGACATTATGATGACGCCGAAACCTCCGCTTTTTATGCTTTTTTTAAATTGTCTCTGTTCCACTAAATCGCTGTTCATTAGCAAATTTCTTGCAGTTATTTACACAAAAGAGTGAGAAATGACTGGTCCTTCTACAAGAGCTGAGTATAATGCAATTTAGCTGGAAGACATGCTCCATTTACAGACAGTTTAGTCTGGCGGGGTAATTCTGAAAAAGCTCACTTAGAAAACAAGGAAAGCTAGTATGATAAACCAGAGATGATTAAAGTTGTTATTGACCAGCTGAAAAAATCAGACTGCCCCTCAGGGTGCAAAGAAAGTTAGTTTTGCAGCTTGCCTTTTGGGCAAAGTTAGCTCCCCAAAATACACTAGCCCCGGGAAATCAGAGACGACTTTCTTTGCACGCTGCTCAGTTGATCATCGATCATAACCAAGTAAGTGTATACACCACACTTTAGTCAGCATAAATGAAAAAATAAACGTTTCAATATAAACAATGGCCACCTTACCAGGAAAAAAAATATCCACCAATTTAGTTAAATCTTTCTCATCACATTGTTTCGGTGCACATATTCCCCATGGTATAGGATGTAACTGGAATAAGAGAAAAGGTAGTCTTAATAAGTAAGGAGTACTAATTAGAAGTTCACCCCACACATTATTGTCCTCTTTTTCTAAAAAGTACAACAGGGGTATTTTATTTGCAGAATGCAGAACGCTGAATGTAGAATGCAGAATAACAAATGACACTGAAGTTTAGTGATTAGGGTTAGGAAACAGGGTGAATAAACTTTCCGGTCAATTTTCCCGATATAATGACTCTAAATGGAAATTGATTCACTCCATTTCCAAACCCTAATCACTAAACGTCAGCGTCATTTGGCGTTTTGCATTCTGCATTCAGCGTTCGGCAAAATACTCCTGCCGCTAAAAAAAATGAATTTTTCCAAATTATCTTCATTTAGGAAGTAAATACTTCGAAATACTTAATTATCCACTCCTCTTATGGGGCTTTTCAGGGATAATGAAACAAATAAAGCCACAAGGTTAAATAAGGTTAAAACTCCAATCTGGCCAAAAAAGGAGGCAAACCAGTGGGCTTTAATTTACAAGCGTGGCTGTAGATTTTAGCTCAGGACTACCGTGGACAAATCCAGCTAGCAGTTAGGGCAGAACTTGAGCTCGGGGCCTTTAGATTACGAGTCTATTGCTCTAACTGCTCAGCCACGCTGCCTCAGCTTGCCTCCCTACAGATAAAGACACGGATTGACAAACTTAAAGAAGTTTAAAATGGACTGCACCGGAAACTTGTCAGCCGAACAGTTTGTCAAACTTCATTCCGTTGTTTGTAACATTTGATATGGCTTTGATATAATGCTACACAATGGGAAGCATAATTATTTGTTTGATAGTATGCTGTGGTTTTGCCATTCACAAGTTATTTCTCAAGGTCTATCGCAAACAAGATGAACATTAGATGGTAATCTAATGGTGAGTGCATATTAGTACTGCTCTGTTATTTCTTCTCACCATGCAGTAATGTGCGTCAGGAATATAATTTGTGCACTCATCATACGATCCTAACGAGGCAATGTTTCCAACAAGAATTCCACTGGGAGGCTTACCAGTAGCATCCAAGTCTGAAAAAAAATGAATCTAATTTTGAGGAATATTATACTCAATTAGTGTTCTGCTGATTATCAATTAAAATTGATCATCGATCAAAATCTTTAAGAGACATGTAAGGAAAAAAATTCAATCTATGATTGCACGAAAAAATACAATAATATAATAATTCTATATCTTGTTGACATATTAACAAATTAAACACTTGAGTGTTGTCTTTTTCATGGTCTCATATTAAATAGGAAAGGAAATTTGATCACCTATAATCTTGAAAGGGCTATAGAGCAGTTTGACGTCACAAGAATTTAAATTTGTGAAATTACAGGATTGGCAAAAATCAGGCTGTTAGTACAAATAGATGGGGATATATATGTTGTGGTTCAATTTTATCCTTGGTTTAAATTTTCTTTTGTTTTTGTGCATGATAATGTATGATAATGAGTTTGGAACAAAAGAAAATAAAATTTAAACCAAGAAAAGATTTGCACTACAACATATACACAATGTTATGCTCTGAACCAAATTCAAATTGTTTTTTCAACCTCTACATCATTATTCAGTTAAATTGAAAGGAAATCTCAACAGGCTATTACGTAATGCTTGTATTGTTCCTCAAAATCTCTGGGTAAGGTAGTAGTATTAACGTAGTCGCGCACGCGCGCCCTTGTAGAAATTCAGTATACTTTTAAACCCTTTAAAAAGTATACCTCATTTGTACGTAACCTCAATAAACTGGAAGAAACGACTCTTGCCGATATTTTGTCTTTATTAAAGACTTCGTCAGGGCAACTGACTTATGGGGAACTGAACTGAATTAAAATAATTTTCTTCTTGATGTGAAACAACGCATCTGCTTTATACATTTGCACCAAAAGGTATTAAAAAATGATAATCAATTGCTAATGGTGCTGCACTGGCAGATTACACACTTGATTTTATCGGGGGATAGCACTAAAACACTTTTTGTGCATGGCCTCCTGCATATAGAAAACATTATATTTACAGCTTTCCCGAGAAAGGTTGTCCGAAAAAATGTGCACGCGACAATCCTGAAAGGTAATATGGGATATGATCAACACTCTGTTCCTGACACTGTAGCTGTCGAATTTTCTATTGTTGCTTTCGTTTAGCATTCGCAAACATGTTCTATGGCCTCTCTTGCCATTCTGTCAAATTTCTCTGAAGAACACAGAACAGTGAACTCAACACCACCCACAATACCTTTCAGGACTGTCGCGCGCACTTTTTCCGACAACCTTTCTCGAAATAGTTGTAATATGAAGACATTTTCCTTCTTCAAAACGGCAAGAAAAAAAAGACAGTTAAATCCCTCTATCGGAGGTGCGAACAGCTGATCACTCATGAAGATTTTCCAGTGCCACAGACATGCAAGGAATAACTGCTTTCAACTAAGGGTGATTGTAACCTTTGATGATAGCTCACTTGCACTAAGAGGTCAAGTGATCAATGCTTGCTTTAAACTGAATGAGTTGGAATCTTGCGGATGCCAAAAATTGACAGAGCACGTAGAGATTATCTTACGCCCGAAATTTGAGAGGAAAAGCATTTAAGGGAGATATTTTATGGCACTTTGATTTTTCAACAAAGTGGTATGATTTGTATCGGCCGCCATGTTGAAGGGCATACTCTTGCCCTCCAACATGGCGGCCAAAACTACGTTTTGCTTATATCTTGTTAAACGTTTGATACGTATGCTCAGATGTGCTGTAAACGTTACCGCATCATCTTTTCAACATTTTCCTTGAAATTTAAGAGCAAAATTTGTGTTCAGAAAGAGGTACAGCAACCTCTTTCCCAGGGTTCTCTCCTACCTGCCCTACGTAGGGCGGGTAGGAGAGAACCCTGGGAACGAGGTTGGAGGTGCAATTCATAATTTTAAAAATCACATTGTGGTCACGTGATGAGCTACGAAATTACTCATTTTAAGAGCCAATGTCTGTAATTTTCGAAAATCGGTTGACAGTAGTGAATTTTTGAATATCTTCATATTTTGCCAAAATAACCTCTATAGTACACTTTTTTCAAAAATCACATTAAAATTGTAACGGCTTTTTATTTTTTCATTAATCGGGCAAAGATAACTCTAAATCGGTGCTCTTTCGAGTATGATAATATCTCTAAATGAAATCAAGTCACAAAACAGACACGCGCTTTTACTTTATAATTCTTTCGTATGAAATTAGCGAAAATTAAGTATTTTCTTCGCGCTCGTACATAAAAACGGGATAATATCTCTAAATGAAATCAAGTCGCAAAACAAACACAGACAGTCACTAGCCGCGAGTATAGGCACACGGAAGTTTTTGCAAACTTAGCTTCTTATACAAGGGGCACATTAAGGGAAGCTCTTAAAATCTTTTGAAAAGTACTTTTCAATTTGATATTTATTAAAAAAAAAAAAATACTGCATTTGATTGGACGCAAGTAGCTGAAAAAGACAACGCTGTTAAGGCCTTACAGTGTAAATATTCACCTCGAGTCTCTGCACCTAAAACAAAGCCGCTAGAAACGGCGTGCTAGCTCTGAATGGGACACGAGATCTATAAGAATTAACTTACAACAGTGGTTTCAACTGAAAGTAGCCGCAGTTTACTGAAATCTTGGACTTAACGCCGTGAAAGGAGTGAAAGCCCGCGTGTGATTTGAGTCAGGTCACGCAACTGTACAGACAAGGAATAATCATTGCACGAGTGTACAAGAAAAAATAAAATGACAATGAAACTTTTTTATGTTTTAGTTTTATAACGACTTCTCCAAAATATTTCGAACTAATCTTGATTTTAGGACGTACAAACCGAAACCCAAACCTAGCAAGAAAACAAATAGAGTAAGCTGAGTCTGCAAACTTTTCAGACTAGTTTTCTTTTATTTGCACTCAGCCTTCTGAGCCTTTGCCTGTAAGAAACTAATCTCAACCCCGCTCAGCGGCGCATAGACTTCTTTTTCGGTCACCTCAGAATGAATTGAGGGATTTGGGTACACACGTACGCCACATGCAACATGAAAGTAGAGCAGGGAAATGGAAATGAGTAAAACTGTTTGAAAAATTCCTGAAAAACCACAAATCGACAATGGAAAATGGACACATTTGATGAGCAAAATACAAGTATTTAACATGTTTCAATTACTGAAAGTAGTATTGCTTTGCTCATCTGCAGCAAGGGCATCTTCTGGCGAGACCTCAACCTGCTGTTGACGAATTCTAAACTATCTGATCCCCCGCCCCTCGAACAGACGAGGCCAGTCTACACAGTATGGCAGATCTCGACGAGATCTCGTGCGTGCAGAGCTATTTTGAGCCGCATAGGACGCGTGCAATACGAGCTGTTAGACCAGAATGTACGTACATGCTAGCTCCCCTAAAAAAGGGAATAGTCACCTGCCTCTGTTTGCCACCACCTAACGACACTTGTTCGCAGGCTAGAAAATAAACCAATTCACTGACAAGTTCTTTTCCATAACATAAAAATCCGTCGCGTAAATGAAAATATGCTTAAAAATGCCTCACCCATTTTACTTACTATGTTTTAACCAAATACGTTGCGGAGAAAAAAGGAAAAGGCTGTAAATGGCATTTCATTTCGATTTAAAATTTCAGATGGAGAATTCCCTTTTCACTAGGTTTTCACCTGCAGTGACTTGTGTGCAAAAACTCCTTCGTGGTGGTATCTCTCAGGCAAAAACGACAGCCTAGTGGCAAAGAGCAAGGAGAAAAGTCCGTGGTCATTTTCGAAAGAAAAAAGAAGTGTAAAGGCTGCATCTTCGTCGCTCAGAAAACGTCTGCGTATATCATTTTCTTCAGGCCGCACATAGTCATCAATTAATGTGCCTTTACGGACCCCTTTATGAGCAGCCAGTAGGCTGTTCTGGAACGGTACAACGTGATTTGTGCTCCGCCACCCGGAACCAAACATTCAGCTGTGGTGAGGATCAAGCAAGTCTGCTAGCTCTAAATGTAGTGATAAAGACATGAATTTTTGTATTTTGTATGTGTAGGGTTGAACCTAATAGAGAACCTAATGCAAACCAACCCACCCATCTCGTCCTCCTTCCCTAGAGTTAAACAAGCTAAGTAAACTTTTCGTGATGTTAGCATAGTCACCTGAGACCTCTTGTAATGTTCACTAAAATAATAGCAAGCACCTTCGTAGCCTGCTCACAGACCTTCTACTTTTTCTTTAGAGATCGTCGATCTATTTTCTCTTTGGAGATCGTCGATTTCGCGTATTAAAATAAAAACCGCTGGGGATTTAATGAGCACTAGCCCAACGGGCTCTCTCTCGTCTCTCTCGTGCTCGTCTATTTTCGAAACGAAAAAGGAGTGTAAAGGCTGGAACTTCGTCGCTCAGAAAACGTCTGCGTATATCATTTTCTTCAGGCCATACAGAGTCATCAATCAGTGTGCCTTTACGGACCCCTTTATGAGAAGCCAGTAGGCTGTTCTGGAACGGTACCACGTGATTTGTTGCACCGCGATGCGGAGCCAAACATTTAGCGGTGGTGAAGGAAAACTCTTATTTTCATGCGCCAATTTTGTGGATCAAACAAAGATGCCTAACGTAAATGCAGAAAACCTTACTTTTATCATTAGCATGGTAGGGTCGATGTTTGGTTATTGCCCTACCTACTCTCGTGACTAACAAGTGAGCATACCAAGTGACACAAGACATCTTTTCTATAATTGCAATACATTCAGCATTACTGGGGCCACAGGCGCCACCACCCAAGTTTGAATATGTGCGAGAGGCTATACGAACGTACAATAAAGACTCAAAGCCAAAATCAGTCTGAAAGGAATCATGTTAAACCGAACAGAAACGCCGAAATATAGTCTGAAACCGTTACAACTCTGAATAGGGTTTAAGTGTCGAAGAAACTTATGTTTGCGATAGACGATTAATATCAGGGGCACCCAACGGCAATTTTCGGAAAATATCTGTTCGGAAGACGAGTTGAGATCTAGAATTTTCGGAACATTTGTTGTAAAATTTCTAGGTTGCCTGCCTCTCCTAGGATTTTCGAACATCCAAACAATGGTATAATTGGCCATTTTTAACGGATTTTTACCCTAAAAAGGTCACCTAGAATTTTCGGTAGCCTTTTTTCTCGCTGAAATTTTCGAAAAGGTAACTTTTGAACCCCATCATTTTCGCATCTCATCACTAGACTTTCAGCTAGGAAATCCGAACAGATGAAAAATTTTTAGGAGATAAAAATATGCCTATATCTACCTTTTAAATACTAAAATACGTTTAACAATGCTATGTTTAAGTGGATATCCTCGTTGGGTGCCCCTGTAATATTCGAAGCGACGAAACTTGCTTGTTGCACGCGCTTTTCTGGTGTCAAAATACCGTTCAGATTTTGGTCTATCGACGGGGCGCGTTTGAAATTAAATGCCGCCAGAAATATTTTGACACAAACAACAACAAAGGATATGCTTCAATACAGTTCTTCTTCTTCCAAGTCCCAACTGGGTTTTAACGATGGTGAAGTTAGGTCAAATTTGCCATTTTTGAAAAGTGCTGAAACCGTGTTTCTTCTTTCGGCCGGCACAGTCACATTTAAACGGAAAATTGAAAATTAATTGCTGAATTATAAAGTAAAAGCGCGTGTCTGTTTTGTAACTTGATTTCATTTAGAGATATTATCATACTCGAAAGAGCGCCGATTTAGAGTTTTTCAATTTTTACCTGATTCCTGAAAAAATAAAAAGCCGTTACAAGTTTTAACGTGGTCTTTTAAATTAGTGTACTATAGAGATTATTTGGGCAAAATATGAAGAAATTCAAAAATTCACGACTGTCAACCAATTTACGAAAATTACAGACATTG